TGAAGACAATGCAATCTGAAACTAAATTTGAATTAATTGGATGCCTAATTAATTTTTTATGAATTAATAAAAATTTGGACCGAATTAGTAGGCATGTCTAGCCAACCACACCACACGCGTCATCACCTTCAATAGCTGCGCCATCACGTAATGGCTGCGTTAAAAAACCATTGCGCGCCTACTGAACGTGATGTTCAGTAGGCGCGCAATGGTTTTTAGTCATGTAACTCTATTGTAAATAAAACATGTAAAGTACTGAAAAAAAATTCATAAAAAACGTTTTAATAACAAGCTTTTATGTAATGATGCACTAAAAAGTAGAAAATAAATTATAGACTACTATTTAAATAACTATAAAGAAAAGCGTGGGTGTCTTCCTTAACATTAGTAAAGGTATCCAATAGATACTAAAGTGACCCACGCTTTTCTTTATAGTTATTTAAATAGTAGTCTATAATTTATTTTCTACTTTTTAGTGCATCATTACATAAAAGCTTGTTATTAAAACGTTTTTTATGAATTTTTTACAAGCTTTTATTTAACTCACTTCCTCTGTCTGTCTGTCTTGACGGAAACGCAGGAGTGAAAATTCGGACAGTTCTACTTGACCGACACGATTCAAAGTTGGCACGTGGGTCAAGACATGAAGACAATGCAATCTGAAACTAAATTTGACTTAATTGGATGCCTAATTGATTTTTTATGAATTAATTAAAATTTGGACCGAATTAGTAGGCATGTCTAGCCAACCACACCACACGCGTCATCAATAGCTGCGCCATCACGACCACGTAATGGCTGCGTTAAAAAACCATTGCGCGCCTACTGAACGTGATATTCAGTAGGCGCGCAATGGTTTTTAGTCATGTAACTCTATTGTAGATAAAACATGTAAAGTACTGAAAAAAAATTCATAAAAAACGTTTTAATAACAAGCTTTTATGTAATGATGCACTAAAAAGTAGAAAATAAATTATAGACTACTATTTAAATAACTATAAAGAAAAGCGTGGGTGTCTTCCTTAACATTAGTAAAGGTATCCAATAGATACTAAAGTGACCCACGCTTTTCTTTATAGTTATTTAAATAGTAGTCTATAATTTATTTTCTACTTTTTAGTGCATCATTACATAAAAGCTTGTTATTAAAACGTTTTTTATGAATTTTTTTTTATGAATTTTTTTTCAGTACTTTACAATATTTACATGTTTTATCTACAATAGAGTTACATGACTAAAAACCGGTGCGCGCCTACTGAATATCACGTTCAGTAGGCGCGCAATGGTTTTTTAACGCAGCCATTACGTGATGGCGCAGCTATTGAAGGTGATGACGCGTGTGGTGTGGTTGGCTAGACATGCCTACTAATTCGGTCCAAATTTTAATTAATTCATAAAAAATTAATTAGGCATCCAATTAAGTCAAATTTAGTTTCAGATTGCATTGTCTTCATGTCTTGACCCACGTGCCAACTGTGAATCGTATCGGTCAAGTAGAACTGTCCGAATTTTCACTCCTGCGTTTCCGTCTAGACAGACAGACAGACAGAGGAAGTGAGTTAAATAAAAGCTTGTAAAAAAAAAATTCATAAAAAACGTTTTAATAACAAGCTTTTATGTAATGATGCACTAAAAAGTAGAAAATAAATTATAGACTACTATTTAAATAACTATAAAGAAAAGCGTGGGTCACTTTAGTATCTATTGGATACATTTACTAATGTTAAGGAAGACACCCACGCTTTTCTTTATAGTTATTTAAATAGTAGTCTATAATTTATTACAAGCTTTTATTTAACTCACTTCCTCGACAGTCTGTCTGTCTGTCTAGACGGAAACGCAGGAATGAAAATTCGGACAGTTCTACTTGACCGATACGATTTACAGTTGGCACGTGGGTCAAGACATGAAGACAATGCAATCTGAAACTAAATTTGAATTAATTGGATGCCTAATTAATTTTTTATGAATTAATAAAAATTTGGACCGAATTAGTAGGCATGTCTAGCCAACCACACCACACGCGTCATCACCTTCAATAGCTGCGCCATCACGTAATGGCTGCGTTCAAAAACCATTGCGCGCCTACTGAACGTGATGTTCAGTAGGCGCGCAATGGTTTTTAGTCATGTAACTCTATTGTAAATAAAACATGTAAAGTACTGGAAAAAAAATTCATAAAAAACGTTTTAATAACAAGCTTTTATGTAATGATGCACTAAAAAGTAGAAAATAAATTATAGACTACTATTTAAATAACTATAAAGAAAAGCGTGGGTGTCTTCCTTAACATTAGTAAAGGTATCCAATAGATACTAAAGTGACCCACGCTTTTCTTTATAGTTATTTAAATAGTAGTCTATAATTTATTTTCTACTTTTTAGTGCATCATTACATAAAAGCTTGTTATTAAAACGTTTTTTATGAATTTTTTACAAGCTTTTATTTAACTCACTTCCTCTGTCTGTCTGTCTTGACGGAAACGCAGGAGTGAAAATTCGGACAGTTCTACTTGACCGACACGATTCAAAGTTGGCACGTGGGTCAAGACATGAAGACAATGCAATCTGAAACTAAATTTGACTTAATTGGATGCCTAATTAATTTTTTATGAATTAATTAAAATTTGGACCGAATTAGTAGGCATGTCTAGCCAACCACACCACACGCGTCATCAATAGCTGCGCCATCACGACCACGTAATGGCTGCGTTCAAAAACCATTGCGCGCCTACTGAACGTGATGTTCAGTAGGCGCGCAATGGTTTTTAGTCATGTAACTCTATTGTAAATAAAACATGTAAAGTACTGAAAAAAAATTCATAAAAAACGTTTTAATAACAAGCTTTTATGTAATGATGCACTAAAAAGTAGAAAATAAATTATAGACTACTATTTAAATAACTATAAAGAAAAGCGTGGGTGTCTTCCTTAACATTAGTAAAGGTATCCAATAGATACTAAAGTGACCCACGCTTTTCTTTATAGTTATTTAAATAGTAGTCTATAATTTATTTTCAACGTTTTAGTGCATCATTACATAAAAGCTTGTTATTAAAACGTTTTTTATGAATTTTTTTTTTCACAAAATACGCGGACATCGAGTTAAAAGTTTAATAATAAGTATTTTGCTGTGAATGGCTTATAGTGACAACGTTACTAGATTTGGGAAAGGCAAAGTTAAAATAAAATAAAACATACTTTAGTACTATTTGGCAACCTACTTCTAATACTATAGACTTAAAGATCATCTCAGTCCATAATTCTAGACCTATCCAAGAACATAGATCTTAAACTTACCCTCATCATAATTTTAACCTAAACAACGAAAGCCCTGCGTGGCTTGAAAATGACAAATGTTTATGTCATTAGTAGCCTAAACAAAACTCGTTGAAGAGTTATTACCCTTGTAACAAAAAACTCGCTCGAGAGTTCCCGCCCCTACAACAACACCACATAACCAGCCTTATACAGTTAAACTTTATAAAACTCCCATTGCAGCATTTCCTGCTTGTCATTCTTAAGTTTGAAAGCAAAATATTCATGTCTAACACGCTAAGGTACCAAAAATCGATTTTTCTTTTGCGAGGGTAGCACAAGAAAATATATACATTCTTAGTAGGCGGGAGAGAGTATGTCTATAGAATACTATAGATAGACAGATTTTTTTTTAAACTACACATAAACAACGGTTGGTGATTTATAGATTCTAGAACGTGTCTAGTTGGTCTGTGTGGGTTCTGTTTATCGTTGTGAGGGGGCCAGGTTGTCATATGTGGATACAGCCACAGAAAAATGTGAAACCTATTTCGTCGCGGAAGATTGTTATTTATTTAAAGTAAGGATTATCGGATTATTGTAAAATAAACTACAGTGGTTTAGTAACAAACAAAATGGGTAAGTTTGAGGATAAGTTGATCTTTTAGCTCTGTCTTGTTGACGATAAAAACTAAATTGTCTTGTTGTTTGTTTTACATGACAAAGTCCACGATTAAGTCGAAGTGCCCCTATTCTGTGTCACATGCCATTATAACTATGTCATGTCATATGTCATTATTACCATCCCATGTCTCATGTCACCTGTCAGTATCACTATCCCATGGCACATGTCACCTGTCAGTATCACTATCCCATGTCATATGTCAGTACCACTATCCCATGTCATATGTCAGTATCACTATCCCATGTCATATGTCAGTATCTCTATCCCATGTAACAACATGTCAGTATCACTATGCCATGTCATATGTCAATATATCTATCCCATGTAACAACATGTCAGTATCACTATCCCATGTCATATGTCAGTATCTCTATCCCATGTAACAACATGTCAGTATCACTATCCCATGTCATATGTCAGTATCACTATCCCATGTCATATGTCAATATATCTATCCCATGTAACAACATGTCAGTATCACTATCCCATGTCATATGTCAGTATCACTATGCCATGTCATATGTCAATATATCTATCCCATGTAACAACATGTCAGTATCACTATCCCATGTCATATGTCAGTATCTCTATCCCATGTAACACCCCCCCCCTCTCCCACACTACCCACGCCACTTCCGGTGCCCCCTTTCTAACTTTCCAAATCTATGTCAAGTCTCCACCCCCCCCCCTCTCCCACACTACCCACGCCACTTCCGGTGCCCCCTTTCTAACTTTCCAAATCTATGTCCAGTCTCCACCCCCCCTCTCCCACACTACCCACGTCTCTTCCGGTGCCCCCTTTCTAACTTTCCAAATCTATGTCAAGTCTCCACCCCCCCCCCTCTCCCACACTACCCACGTCTCTTCCGGTGCCCCCTTTCTAACTTTCCAAATCTATGTCAAGTCTCCACCCCCCCCCCTCTCCCACACTACCCACGTCTCTTCCGGTGCCCCCTTTCTAACTTTCCAAATCTATGTCAAGTCTCCACCCCCCCTCTCCCACACTACCCACGCCACTTTCGGTGCCCCCTTTCCAACTTTCCAAATGTCCAGCCTCCAGCGCCCTACGCCAGCGATGCGTGACCAAGAAAATGGCCGCGGTGCTGTGGCTCCTCGCTTTGGCCGTGACCTTGGCGCTGGTCATCGCCGCCGTGGCTGGCACCAGCTGGTTGAGGTGGACGGACACGACGAGCCGGGGCGAGCGCGAGTTCGGCCTGTTCGACTCACCCTCAGAGAGTTCGTCAGCCTCGTGTGACGTGGGCGACGTTGTGAAACAGACAGAGGAGGAGATCTATACAACATGTGAGCGGCTCGGTGTTTTACTGTTGGTGATTGTGGGGTTAAAGGTCAATCTCGTGGGGGGTCAAAAGGTCAACCGGATATTGCGAGAGTTCTATTGTCGAAGCCCATTTTAAAAAAAAAATTACTTTAAATTAATAAATCTTTCGTGCCCAATACGCGGTGCAGTTGAAGTAGAGTTCTTCTGTTTCAATGACTTCGGCATACATGTGGATAGTGTGATAATCATAGTGTACAGCTGCCTTTGTTTTCCTAACTTGAGTCAGGTACCCATCAGAGCTGGGTGGACTTAGAGACGTAAGACAGTCTCTAGCCGGGGATCTGAACTCAGGCTAGAGTATAGACCTCTACCGCTCGGCCACGCCGTTCCATATGTTAATTCATAATTTCTGATTTAAAAAAATGTGTTGCAGTTTTAGCTTTAAATCTTTATAGTGTAAAAATTATACTTAATCAGAAGCTACGTGTATAATTTAGTTGGAGAAGAACAGCTTTAATTGTTAGCGAAGAAAATAAGTTAATGCTATTCTTCTTTGTCTGATTTATTTAGAATCATTAGTCAACACTTTTATCTTGTTCTAATTTGTAGCTATCGAGTCAAAGAAAAGCAAATTTAATTACACAATATGATGTTCACTTTGTCCTAATGTTAACTTGACATTATGATGTCCATTTTTAGATCTGTCTCTCAGATACTATTAGTCTTAAAACTTTTTAAGCCAATAGTTTTTAACTAATATTTTCATTTAAAACTCTGTCACGTATAATATTAGAATATTGACGAGATAACTCCACTTGTAGTTTCAGTGCGCGCTGTGGCTGGTTTGTTGATTACGGGCCTTGTCGTGGACGTTATCTCCCTTGTGGCAGGAGTTCTCTACCTGCGGGCCAGGGCCAAGGGCAACGAGAGACTCTGGAAGTTGTCCATACCAGCTGTAGTCGCCGCCCTTGCAACAGGTAATGCCTGCCGTCATGTCTTTGTTTCACGGAAGGAATGGGGTGGTCTAGAGAAGAGCGCAGGAACACATCCGTAGAAGGTACAGCCTCACAAAGTTGATTACAGCTTTGATGTTGGCCTTGTGTGAAATATATATTTAGTGGTATATGGTAACAGTGTGTACAGAGTTTCTTCCAGGCATCCCGAAGGCCCCCCCCCCCCCACCCCGAAGAAAGTCTACTGCCCCCCCCCCCCCCTCCCCTCCGAGCGAAATGAAATTTATATAGAAAATATATACTTTTAACAGTGTCTGCCCCCCCCCGCCCCCCCCCCTCGAGATAAGTCTCCCCCGCCCCGAAAATTTCAAGGGTCCCCCCCCCCGGAGAAAAAAGTCTGGAAGAAACACTGAGTGTGTATAATATGGCCTATAGCGAGATCAAAATGAGAAATTGTGTGGTAAACCTGCTTTGAAAACCAATGGTTGAAGTAGACAATGCGAGGAAGAGTAAGAGAAGTAGGTTTCACAATGCAACAAATGTTGGATAACATAGATTTCCTGTTTTTTTTTTGGTTGGGTTGACTACTTTGGTATCTCTCTCTATTATTTTCCATATAGATGCAACGGGTTTGATTATTTCTTTATATGATTTGTTATTGCTTATACGTATTTATTAATATCTGCAACTCGTAGATCGCTGAGATGTAACAATACAGAGGCGTAGCGACCCTTCCCGGCGCCCGGGGACAAACTTTAGATTTGCACCCCCCTCAATCTTTAGATTTGCACCCCCCCCCTCAAACGTTCGATTACTTTTTCCAACCCATTTTGGCGCCCCCTTAGGTCGGCGCCCGGGGAATGTGTCCCTCCCCCCTGTCCCCCCCCCCTCCCATCGCTACGCCTCTGTAATAATATTGTATCTTTCAAGTTTGATATACAATACAAAGTGTTGATATGTTTCGTTTTTCTCAACTCAGCCGCGCTAGTTCTGATTGGCTGTCTGGTTTTTGTCATTGATTTGACGGACGCCACGGATGGGCCGCTGAAACCTGTCAAGCCGCCATTTTGTCCGACTGACGTCACTGGCATAGATTTGAGCCTGGACTACGGATGGAGTTTTTACCTGGCGTTGGTGGGCGGGGGCCTGGCGTGTATTAAAGGGATCATGTTCTCGATAATGGCGTCTTTGTGTTAGTGATTGGAGTTTACAAGACTAAGGAGACTCACTGATTAAAGGCATCCTGTTCTCGATAATGGCTTGTTTGTGTTAGAGATTGGAGCTGGCAAGACTAACGAGCATTCTGTTCTCATTAATGGCGTTTTTTGTGTTAGAGATAGAAGTTTACTAGACTAACAGACGAGACTCACTGATTAAAGGCAACTTGTTTTAATTTTAAATCTCAGTAATTTTCTGGATGTAAGTGACATTACTTAAAGATGTGTATGGTGTAAGTGTAAGTGACATTACTTAAAGATGTGTATGGTGTAAGTGACATTACTTAAAGATGTGTATGGTGTAAGTGACATTACTTAAAGATGTGTATGGTGTAAGTGACATTACTTAAAGATGTGTATGGTGTAAGTGACATTACTTAAAGATGTGTATGGTGTAAGTGACATTACTTAAAGATGTGTATGGTGTAAGTGACATTACTTAAAGATGTGTATGGTGTAAGTGACATTACTTAAAGATGTGTATGGTGTAAGTGACATTACTTAAAGATGTGTATGGTGTAAGTGACATTACTTAAAGATGTGTATGGTGTAAGTGACATTACTTAAAGATGTGTATGGTGTAAGTGACATTACTTAAAGATGTGTATGGCGTAAGTGACATTACTTAAAGATGTGTATGGTGTAAGTGACATTACTTAAAGATGTGTATGGTGTTAGTGACATTACTTAAAGATGTGTATGGTGTAAGTGACATTACTTAGAGATGTGTATGGTGTTAGTGACATTTTTTAAAGATGTGTATGGTGTAAGTGACATTACTTAAAGATGTGTATGGTGTAAGTGACATTACTTAAAGATGTGTATGGTGTAAGTGACATTACTTAAAGATGTGTATGGTGTAAGTGACATTACTTAAAGATGTGTATGGTGTAAGTGACATTACTTAAAGATGTGTATGGTGTAAGTGACATTACTTAAAGATGCATGGTGTAAGTGACATTACTTAAAGATGTGTATGGTGTAAGTGACATTACTTTAAGATGTGTATGGTGTGACATTACTTAAAGATGTGTATGGTGTGACATTACTTAAAGATGTGTATGGTGTAAGTGACATTACTTAAAGATGTGTATGGTGTGACATTACTTAAAGATGTGTATGGTGTAAGTGACATTACTTTAAGATGTGTATGGTGTGACATTACTTTAAGATGTGTATGGTGTGACATTACTTAAAGATGTGTATGGTGTGACATTACTTAAAGATGTGTATGGTGTGACATTACTTAAAGATGTGTATAGTGTAAGTGACATTACTTAAAGATGTGTATGGTGTAAGTGACATTACTTAAAGATGTGTATGGTGTGACATTACTTAAAGATGTGTATGGTGTAAGTGACATTACTTAAAGATGTGTATGGTGTAAGTGACATTACTTTAAGATGTGTATGGTGTAAGTGTAAGTGACATTACTTAGAGATGTGTATGGTGTAAGTGACATTACTTTAAGATGTGTATGGTGTAAGTGTAAGTGACATTACTTAGAGATGTGTATGGTGTAAGTGACATTACTTTAAGATGTGTATGGTGTAAGTGTAAGTGACATTACTTAGAGATGTGTATGGTGTAAGTGACATTACTTTAAGATGTGTATGGTGTAAGTGTAAGTGACATTACTTAAAGCCGTCAACTGTGTAAGTAACGAGTTCTGAGATGCTGGAGTGTCATGTTAAAGAGTGCGGGAAGTGCGTTGGTGTTTCATTTTAATATTTTGTGTTATTGCATTTTGACAGTGCGTTGTGAAATTGCGTTGTGTTCGCGCGTTATGTTACTCAATGATAGACGAGTGTCTGTTGAACGCATGGTTTAAAGAAAAAAATGTCCCTCACTGAATTTGTTTTACAAAAGAACGACATAAATTAGATTTTGCTCATATTCAATGTGTGGCATCACTCTAAAAACATACGAACAGAAAGACAATGACATAACATGGTTTTGAAGATAGGTGAAAACAGATAAACATCCACATTGGCTGTCACATGAGACCTATAGAGTGGATAAATGATTTGATGTAAACACGATGCAGATGGTTTGTGGTGATAATAAACCAAAATAAAATTTATTTAGAAAATAAAGAAAAAATTATAATGTAATTTTTTATTTTATTTCTTAGGTTTTTATTGTCCGTGTTTTCTGTACATGGGACGGTGTGGTCGGATGGTAGAGCATATGACTGCTTACCCGAAAGTCTCGAGTTCGATTCTTGGGTTTGTTGGTTATACAAAAACTTATTTGCCAATTGGATGTCGGGTATTCTTCATTGTGACACATACACTTGGCGATGTTCTAGCAGTTGGGTGGCTGGTATGCTTTTAGTTAGATTCAGACCCTTGGCTATGATTTAGTAGCTCGATGGCTGTTATTGTATCAGTTGGAGAGAGACACAGGGCTGATCAACTAGTTGGGTTCATTGTCTTTGGCCAGTTAGAGACATCCTTTACTGTTGAAGCAGTGTTCATTGTCTTAATTTCATAGTTAGACAGAAATCCTGTACTGTTGAAGTAGTTGGGTTCAATGTCTTTCATTAGATGTTGTCTTTCATTAGCTAGACAGACATCCTGTACCATTGAAGTAGTTGGGTTCATTGTCTTTCATCAGTTAGACAGACATCCCGTACTGTTGAAGTAGTTGGGTTCTACGTGGTTCCTCTGTACACTGAAATATTTGTTCCAGTTCTGGATGACTACGCGATACACTTCCTTGTTGTAGAGTGTCCCCGTCAGTATCGAGAGCGCTGATTGGTCAAATCTGCAGGGATTAAAAACTAGAATTTACAAAGCTTACGACTCAAAAAGATTTAACATTATGTATGTCTATTCTGTAATTTAGTGATATACCATATATACAAGAGGTTTCCACGTTGGAAAACATTAGCGGATATCTTCAAAATAAAATATAAAAGATTCCTCTTTAGGCCTAACGATCTATTAGGCAGATGTAGTGGAGTTCATATATTTCTTGATCTCAGCCTATAAAGGGATAATGTGGTCAGCACTATGCCCAGCCGCCTTTACTTTCCTTAACGTGAGTTAGGTCATAGGTACCCATCAGAGTTGGGTGGACTCAGGGACGTTCCACTAACTTGAGTCCGGATTCGAATTAGAAACTATCGGATTAGCAGTCTAGCACTAAAAAAATATAGGTAAATATAAAAGTATATAATTCGAATATTTAATAATCGCTATAATAATATTTTAAATAATTTCTAGACATAATCCAGCACTGATAAAAAAAATAGATTAATAAACACATGTTTTGTTACCTCCCATAGAAAAATCTAATCTACCAAGGGATGCAACCATAGATATGTTCACAAATATCTTTAATAATTATACAGTAATTACAGTTACAAAACGAAACAGCGGGATCATCATTTACTATTATATAAAATCCGAATATTAATAAATTTATGGACTTTTTGTCTTAACTTTGTGTTTTATAATTTTTTAAAATTATCACATTACTCTAATTCAAACAGAAAACTGTTAGCTATATGATATAATTATTTTGTAGATTTGTAATTACTGAAGCAAACCGATGATCATCGAAGCAGAGCGACGGTAAACGCTTTTTTAGCTACTTATATAAACTTGTCATTAAACTAGATCAGGGGTCGGCAACCTGCGGCTCGCGAGCCGCATGCGGCTCCTTTGATATCAAGATGCGGCTCTCCAGCTCCTTGAACAAATACCAATAATCTTAATAAAAAAAAAAATATTTGAAATAAAAAAAAAATGTTAGTGGCTCTTTTAAATCAGGGAAATTTTGAAAATTGTTACTTTTGGCTCTTCCGCTTCAAAAGGTTGCCGACCCCTGAACTAGATGCATACATTGGCATCAAAAACTCACTGCACAGTACCGGCCCCAACTGCAGAGGAACCAGTATACCTTGTACATCAGACAAACACAAAATTAAAAGTACATTCACGGATAGACAGGGCAGGATAGCCTGCATCACATTGAATATTGATAATACAGAAATAACAATCATCAATGTAAACGCCCCAACACAAAGACAAGAACAAAAACATTTCTACCACACGCTTAATGAACTTATAAATACCGAATACAAAAACAAGACGATACTTGTGACCCTAATGTGGTCCCTGACGATACAGACCCAATAGGGCAAGATGACAGGGAAACGAAAAGGCTAAAACACAATAAAGAACAAATTAATACTTTAAACAATATAATAAAAACGACAAGCTTAAAAGACACCTACAAGAATACACATCTAAATTTCACTGAAACAACACACTACAGCAGAACACATCATAGCGCGGCTAAGCTAGACTAAATATATGCTCATGAAAGTATAACGGTAAACAAAGTAAAACACCTCGCTCAGACACTTACATTTACAGACCACAAAATATTTATTGCTCAACTACAAATTAACCCCACTCACAGAACAAATAATACGTATTGGAAACTCAACAACACACTTCTAGAAAATAGCGAATACATCACATAAATAAGGAAGCTAGCATCAGAATTCACACAGAGAGCATCAAACACACCTGCACTAGAGCACTGGGAAGATTTTAAATATATGGTACGGGTATACTCTATCAAAATAGCAAGGCAAATAAACATAGATAGGAAAATTATGGAAGAACTACTAGACAGACAACTAGATACGTTAATCAGTCATAATGCATCGCAGGACAAAATTGAAAAATTAGAATCAGAATTAAACAAAATACAAACACATAGACACAAGGGAGCGCTAATACGTAGTAGAATAGACATGATAGGCAACGAAGACCCCTCCCATTACAACACAATTTTGGAAAAAATACACTGCAACAGTAAACAGATATGTAGCATAACAGATGACGACGGGAATATAACAAATGACCTGGAAAGTATAAAACGTCAGTTTACTTTATACTATCAAAACCTCTTCAATAAGGAAGATACAGACTATGAAATACAAGAACATTATCTTAAGTACACAACAAGGCTAGACAACGATGACTGTACCAAAATCAACGCGCCAATTACTAAAGAGGAAATATCCAAGACTATAGACGGACTAAAACTAAATAAAGCTCCAGGACCAGATGGACTAACCAGTGAATTTTATAAAACCTTCAAAAATGACTTAATACTCCTTTTACACGCTACATTTCAGGACATACATGAAAGAGAGGATAGTGCTACAGATTTTAACAGGGCATATATAACACTCATTCCCAAAAATGATACGGACAGGACAAAAATTATAAATTACAGACCTATATCTTTACTCAACAGTGAATATAAAATATTGACAAAAACTTAAGTTAAGAAACTCGAACCTTTCATATCTAAATTAATACACCCCGATCAACAGTATAGCATACCAGGTAGAAACATACACAACCACACGCACTTAATCAGAGACATCATACATTATAGCACGCAGAAAGACACACAACTAGCAATTCTTATCATCGACCAACAGAAAGCTTTCGATAGAGTAGATCATACATGGTTAATAAAAACAATAGATGCTTACAACCTAGGACACTATTTTAAAACATGGATAAAAATAATATATAACAATGCACATAGTCATTTATTAATAAACAACAGTGTTACAAGCGCTTTTCACATACAGAAATCAGTTAGACAAGGTTGTCCTTTATCTCCCCTACTATACATCCTTAGCTTAGAACCTCTACTAGAAAACATTAGACAGGACAACTCGATTAAAGGACTGTACATTCCAAACACGGTAGGCAAGAAAATACTTGCATACGCAGACGACACTACTTTCTTAGTACAAACAGAAAAAGCAATACAGACTGTAATAGAAAAATTCAACTTTGGGAAAGGAAGCGGGGGAAAAAATAAACGCAGAAAAATCAAAAGTAATGGGTATAGGTAAATGGAAAGGTAAAGATGACTATCACATAGACATAACAATAACTAACAAACTCAGAATTTATGGAATAACCTATACCAGCGATCCCACAAAAAACGACCAAGAAACTTGGGCCACACTGAAAAATAAAATAAATCTGGAGAAATACCAATACTGCAATACAACCATTTTTGCTAGAGCTGCATTAGTATAAAGATATATCATTCCAAAAATAATTTTCGTAGCGACGAACTCTACAATACCCAACTCATTTATTAAAAAAAAAACAAGCACATTAGAGAGTTCATTTTCAAAAACACGATTAGAAACATTAGCCACAAAACCTTAATACAAAACAAATTAAATGGAGGTATAGCGCTACACGACATTCATACTAAAATAAACACCTTCCGCTTAAAACATCTGGATAGAATAAGGATAGAACCACATTATCATCCATTAGCACAATACTACATAGGGTTAAACATAAAGAGCATTTTAAAACTAAACATCATAACACCATACTATGGAGGAAATGACATAGGCAGCTTTTATAAAGAAACGCTATAAAGAAACGCTAGCAATATTCCAAGGAAACAAAAGCATTATTGGGGAAGACACAAAAAAAATACGACATCCTACAACAAGCGACACCCTTATACACGAGAATTAGTTGGGCCAGGGAACACAATATTATAGACATTAAAGATACATTTAGAAACCTACATAATAAACGCATTACACCAAAAGAAAGGGAAGTAGCATACAAACTGATTTTTAATACAACTTCCTTTTTCTACGAGATTTTATTCTATTTTAAAAACTTTAAGTATTTAAAATGGATTAAAAATCATGTCTATAGCCCGAGTTCCCATCCCCTGTTGTTTTATATAAGAATATTCGAGAAAGTTTAGGGGAGATCACTCCCGGTTTATTTTAGTAATGTTCACCATTTTGTTTATGTATTGATAATTTTTGTTAATGTTTGAACTATGTTAAATACACACTACGTTAAGCACACACACACACATATTTGTATATGTTGATGTAATGATTTCTATTTGAAAATAAAGATATAAAAAAATTGAAAAAAAAAATTACAAATCTGTTTGTCAAGCCCTCCCCCCACCCACACACACTATAAATAGTAACACCTCAGCAGTTAGATAACAGCACATATTTTGACGCTTGGCTTGCCTTAAAAACACACAGACACCCTCTCCACGCCTCGTCAGACACATCTACCCTCTCCCCCTCTATCCACTTCACCCTCAGACATGATAACCCCACATTCCCTTCAGCTGTTCCAACGACCCCACCACCCACCCCAACATCAATTTCAATATCTATTCATTTACTTATTTAAAGTTCTAAATCTTGTTTCTTTACCCTCATCTTTCACACAGCAACCTTTTGAAAACTCAATGCGACCAGTACATAAATAAACATTCTTTCAACTAGTCAACTTAATTTGTTTTCCTACATAGAAAATGCTTCACTGTCCCATTGACCCTCTCTGAAAAATTTCCTTTCCTCTCTCCACCCAGACTTCTGACACTTTTATTTGACCTTCACCCCTTTTACTGTCATCCTTTGCAATTTTTTTATAATCATATACATGACATCATGTAAATATTCATTATGTACATTTGCAAAACTTTTCGTTTTCATTTGATGTTCGAAATTATGTAAAAAATGTGATGTTGATGTACTTGTTTTAAATTGAATAAAAGTATTAACAAAAAAAAAAATATATTTTCTTAACATTTACTGAGAAATCATGCTACTGCCTAAATTGAAAAGCTGAAATCAGGCAAAACCTATTAAGTCAGCCATAAATGAATCAGTCGCTGGGTTGAATCTCAGATGAAAATAAAAATCACGCGAGGTAGACTATTCTATTAACTTCCAGAACAATACATTGTTTCATGTATTTGTTCTGTGAATGTGCCTTACCAGAGCAGGAGGGCAGGGTAGGGCGCTAGAAGTTTTGGGTTTTTATTAAGGGGCAGTGACATATTGATCAGAAACCGGAGATCTATAGACCACTGGGCAATGTTACATTTATACACTCAATGATGCAACAATACATCTATGCTCACAAATGTTTGTTTTTATATTGCATCAATTTAAATATCTTCTAAACCAAGTTCCATGTGCCGTAGTCCCAGAGGCGTAGCGACGGGGGGTACATATGTTTCCGGGCGCCGACCCTAGGGGCGCCAAAATAAGCTCATCTTAGCTGCTATTTTGAATTATACCTATAAAAAAATATTTCGGGGGGGGGGGGGAGGGGGGGAGGGGAATTGAAAGTTTGTCCTCTGACGCCGGGAGGGGTCGCTACCCCTCTGCGTAGTCTGGGTACGAACCTGTGACAATGGCCGTAGTTTGTGGCCGTTTTTGGGCAGTAGTGTGACCGGTGGGAATCTCTTGGACACATGCAGTTTTTTTCCATGCCGCACCTGGCCCATGGCTCCACGATGGCCCTGTGGATGAACGGCTCATTCTTGTACACACCCACACCCGACATGATCTCTGGGAACTGGTTGAAGGCGCAATGGGGCTGGCCCATGTACGCAAACATCTGTGACGTAAAGCACACACTGTTTTAAAAATAGCTACTTCAGAACATTTAAACACAAAGGGAAACAATCGAGTACAAAAGAAGATAATTTCAAGCCTAAATGACCGTATCTACTGTACAATGTAGGAGACAAGCACACATTGTTAAGATTTCGCTAGGACTCACCTCTGGGAGGGTTTGATGGGCCACAGGCTCCCCCCAGTCTTTCCTCATGATCTGTAGCCCCAGAGCCTCAGCTTGTGAGAAGAACTCGTGACCTCCTTTCTTGTACCGGATGGAGGCGTCCTGCCATATCAGGTACTTCCTAGCTCGGTAGAGTGATGCCTGCAAGATACAGGGAATACAGTGATGTCTACAAGATATAGGGCATGCAGTGATTTCTACAAGATATAGGGCATGCAGTGATGCCTGCAAGATACAGGTAATACAGTAATGCCTATAAGATACAGGTAATACAGTGATGCCTTCAAGATATAGGTAATACAGTGATGCCTTCAAGATACAGGTAATACAGTAATGCCTGCAAGATACAGGTAATACAGTGATGCCTTCAAGATATAGGTAATACAGTGATGCCTGCAAGATACAGGTAATATAGTGATGCCTGCAAGATAAAGGTAATATGGTGATGCCTGCAAGATAAGGTAATACTGTGATACCTGCAAGATAAGGTAATACAGTGATGCCTGCAAGATACAGGTAATACAGTGATGCCTGCAAGATACAGGTAATACATTGATGCATGCAAGATACAGGTAATACAGTGATGCCTGCAAGACACAGAGCATACAGTGATCATAGTTCAATCATTGTAATTCAACGACACCACACATCTTTAACCGATTTTTATTTCCGCCCCTTCCCGTCGTCACTAAACGTCACATTTATTTATTTTTAAAAATTTACTTAACTTGGACAAATTTTAAAATGATTTACAAAAACGGTCCTTAAAAAACTAGGAGTAAAGGCTAAACCTCGGTTTCTAAAATTTCATTTTAAAACGCAAAAAGAGCGTTGTATCTATACTACAAGTTAATACACTCTTATAGTAAAGTAAAGAATCCTCTTTGGACGTAATGGGCAGATGAAGTAGAGTTCATATGTTTCTTGACCTCGGCATATGAAGGTCAGCACTTTGCCCAGCCGCCTTTACTTTCCCTAACATGAGTTAGATACCCATCAGAGCTGGATGGACTCATGGACGTTCTACTGACTTGGACCCGGATTCGAACTCGAGACCTTCGCGTTAGCAGCATAGCGCTCCACCGCTAAGGCCACGCCGTCCCATAATACACTCTTTCTACCCCGGCTTAAAAAATTCATGGACTGAAACTCAAACCTAAAGCTTGTAATTATGTTACTGTTTACCTTGTGAACCACCGGCTTCCACATGTAACATCTGACGTCACGAAAAGTGGCGGGAAATTTTTCAAACGGAAATCTGGCCAGGTGACATCGACAGCATTTCTCCAGCTGCAAGGTTGATTAGCTCATTTATGGTTAATTAAAATCAAAAACAAGGTTAGAAAGTTCATTCATAATTAATTTAAAAAAAAAGGTTATAAAGTTTATTAACAGTTTATTAAAAACAAAACGAGGTTGAAAAAAAATGTTTTAAATTAACAGTTAATTAAATAATAAAGAAGGTTAAAAGTTTTATTAAGAGTTAATTAAAAACAAAACTAGTTTGAAAAAAAAAATTAACAGTTAATTAAATAATAAAGAAGGTTGAAAGGTTTATTAACAGTTAATTAAAAACAAACAAGGGTCATCAGACAGCCTACTGCAATAACTCAACAACAAAGTTCGACAAGAATGGGAATGTGATTGACAGTTCTATTTTTAGATTGGAAACATGTATAGGCTACACTCACGTTATTGAAATTTTAAGAATGGGACGTGTCACATGTTTCTCATTGATTAGTTTTTAGTACATTATCAGAATGGGACTGAATAATTTTTTAGATTAAAATTTACAGTAGATTAATTTTGAAATTTTTTACAATTAAAGTAAAACACAGGCCTGCATGGAAATTTATTTTAAAAAAAAATCATGAAAATACCAGGTATCCCCTGAAAATATGCGATTATCGTTTATATTGATCTGCATATTTTTTATTCGCTTCACCTGAGATATTTATCTGACATTTATTAGTCGCGGTATTGGGAAACGGCGTTTTATGAGTGTGGGGATACGAGAAGAAAACCGTGAAAAATCAATACTTGTCATGTAAACAAAAATTCAAGGGAGTTAACTAAAACAAATATATCGGTCGTCATATTTCATGAGCTACCGCCCTCTACCACTTACATTTTCCCTATTCGGTTGTGAGTGTTGATACGAGAAGAAAACAGTAAACAAATCAATAATACTTGTCATATAAACAAAAATTCAAAGGGGTTAACTAACACAAATATATCGGTCGTCATATTTCAGGAGTTACCGCCCTCTACCACTTAAATTTACCTGTTCGGTTGTGAGTGTTGATACGAAAATAAAACAGTGAAAAATCAATACTTGTCATAAAAACAAAAATTAAAGGGAGTTAACTAAACCAAATATATTGGGTCGTCATATTTCATGAGTTACCGCCCTCTACCACTTACATTTTCCCTCTGTTGGGTTGTGAGCCCGAGGTCCCACACGACCATGGTGAAGTCGGTCAAGGCCGGGTAGACGAACTCGTGCAGATTGTGCAGCAGAGCCTGCAGCTCGTCGTAGTGGTCAGGCGAGGCTGCCGTAATCAGGACGAGGTCACTCTCTGGGATCCCCGCCCCCAGGGAGAGGATGAGCTCGTGCTGCTGGTCCGTGAGGAACATCTGGGGTGGGGTGAGCAGGGAGCGGACCCGGGTCGTCAGGTTGGAGCTGAGCTGGGTCGTGCACTTGGGGTCAACACACGCTTGAACTAGTAGGGAGGTGTGGGTGAGTTAGAAACACGACTGTATGTTAGGACTGAGGGTTGTATGTGTATGTTAGGACTAAGGATTGTATGTGTATGTGTATGTTAGGACTGCGGATTGTGTGTGTATGTTAGGACTGAGGATTGTATGTGTATGTTTGGACTGAGGATTGTATGTTAGGACTGAGGATTGTATGTGTATGTTAGGACTAAGGATTGTATGTTAGGACTGAGGATTGTATGTGTATGTTAGGACTAAGGATTGTATGTGCATGTTAGGACTGAGGATTTTATGTGTATGTTAGGACTGAGGATTGTATGTGTATGTTTGGACTGAGGATTGTATGTTAGGACTGAGGATTGTATGTGTATGTTAGGACTGAGGATTTTATGTGTATGTTTGGACTGAGGATTGTATGTGTATGTAGGACTGAGGATTGTGTGTGTATGTTAGGACTGAGGATTGTGTGTGTATGTTAGGACTGAGAATTGCATGTGTATGTTACGCCTGAGGATTGTATGTGTATGTTAGGACTGAGGATTGTATGTGTATGTTAGGGCTAAGGATTGTATGTGTATGTTAGGACTGAGGATTGTATGTGTATGTTAGGACTGAGGATTGTATGTGTATGTTAGGACTGAGGATTGTGTGTGTATGTTAGGACTGAGGATTGTATGTGTATGTTAGGACTGAGGATTGTGTGTGTATGTTAGGACTGAGAATTGCATGTGTATGTTACGCCTGAGGATTGTATGTGTATGTTAGGACTGAGGATTGTATGTGTATGTTAGGGCTAAGGATTGTATGTGTATTTTAGGGCTGAGGATTGTATGTGTATGTTAGGACTGAGGATTGTATGTGTATGTTAGGACTAAGGATTGTATGTGTATGTTAGGGCTGAGGATTGTTTGTGTGTTAGGACTAAGGATTGTATGTGTATGTTAGGACTAAGGATTGTATGTGTATGTTAGGACTGAGGATTGTATGTGTATGTTAGGACTAAGGATTGTATGTGTATGTTAGGACTGAGGGTTGTATGTGTATGTTAGGGCTGAGGATTGTATGTGTATGTTTGGACTGAGGATTGTATGTTAGGACTGAGGATTGTATGTGTATGTTAGGACTAAGGATTGTATGTGTATGTTAAGACTGAGGATTGTATGTGTATGTTAGGACTGAGGATTGTATGTGTATGTTAGGACTGAGGATTGTATGTGTATGTTAGTACTGAGGATTGCATGTGTATGTTAGGACTGAGGATTGTATGTGTATGTTAGGACTGAGGATTGTGTGTGTATGTTAGGACTGAGGATTGTATGTGTATGTTAGGACTGAGGATTTTATGTGTGTTAGGACTGAGGATTGTATGTGTATGTTAGAACTGAGGATTGTTTTGTATGTTACGGCTGAGGATTGTATGTGTATGTTAGGACTGGGGATTGTATGTGTATGTTAGAACTCATGATTGTATGTGTATGTTAGGAATGAGGATTGTATGGGTATGTTACGCCTGAGGATTGTATGTGTATGTTAGGACTGAGGATTGTATGTGAATGTTAGGACTAAGGATTGTATGTGTATGTTAGGACAGGATTGTATGTGTATGTTAGGATTAAGGATTGTATGTGTACGTTAGTACTGAGGATTGCATGTGTATGTTAGGACTGAGGATTGTATGTGTATGTTAGGACTGAGGATTGTGTGTGTATGTTAGGACTGAGGATTGTATGTGTATGTTAGGACTGAGGATTGTCGGCCTCGCGTTGTTAAAGTACAACAATCACTTTACATAACACGACACATATACTCCGTTGAAAGTTTATTCATACACCCAAGCTTAGTTAAGTTACACAATTTTTTTTTCTATTAGAAGACATCTGTCAGACTTTTCGATTATTTCACAAGCATTGTTCTAGCCTTCGTTTCACTTTCAAACTTCAAACACATTAGATCAACTAAATACTATCGTTTTCATATTGGTAGAGAACGAAGTTTTTTTAATTGATTTTAATGTACACAAAAAACGAGTCCGCCTTTTTGTGTTCGTTTTACAGGCGTTAAGAAAAGTAATTACATAGAGTAGCGGATAGAGAGACTCAACAAGAGAAAATTATGTGCTTAACTGATTGATAGACTCATATGATGGGCAAAAAGACAAACTGACCAACTGAAAACCAAACTCAAATGATGGACAAACACAAACTAACTGACTGGCTGACATGGATAAAATGACAAACCAAATTACATCAAGAACACTGACCAGCCCAAGAAACAACTCACCAGATGGGCCTGGACAAATAGACTCGACCACAAACCGCCTGGCTTTGTTGGGTAGTCTCAGCTTCTGCTCCATCCACTCCACCAGCTGTGAGATGCTGGCGTTTCGTCCATCTTTGGTGATGGTGCTCTGGTTATAGGAAGGCACTGTGGTGTGGTCAGGTGCTGATGGGGTAGTCATAAGGTAGTCAATAATTAGAGGGGTAGTTGGGTGCTGGTGGGGTAGTCAGGTGCTGGTAGGGTAGTCAGGTGCTGGTGGGGTAGTCAGGTGTTGGTGGGGTAGTCAGGTGCTGGTAGGGTAGTCAGGTGCATGTATAGTAGTCAGGTGCTGGTGGGGTAGTCAGGTGTTGGTGGGGTAGTCAGGTGCTGGTGGGGTAGTCAGGTGCTGGTGGGGTAGTCAGGTGCTGGTGGGGTAGTCAGGTGCTGGTGGGGTAGTCAGGTGCTGGTGGGGTAGTCAGGTGCTGGTGGGGTAGTCAGGTGCTGGTGGGGTAGTCAGGTGCTGGTGGGGTAGTCAGGTGCTGGTGGGGTAGTCAGGTGCTGGTGGGGTAGTCAGGTGTTGGTGGGGTAGTCAGGTGCTGGTGGGGTAGTCAGGTGCTGGTGGGGTAGTCAGGTGCTGGTGGGGTAGTCAGGTGCTGGTGGGGTAGTCATAAGGTTGTCAAGAGTTTATGGGGTTGTTATTATAACGTAGTCAACAACATGTGGGGTAGTAATTAATAAGTGGGGTAGTCACAAATATTTGGGGTAGTGGCGAATATATAAATATATATCATGAGACAGTCACGAATAGGTTATGAGACTCCTTGAATATTTTGTAACTCACTAATGCTCTCTCCACCACTCGTGCCGCTAGATCTCTCTAAACCACCTTGACCTTCAGTCGAACTTTTGTCATCTCCAGTGGCAGACGTCAGGCTGACATTTTGGCTCGAATCTGTGACATTTCTAAGTACGTTATCTCGGGTGATGAGCGTCTCGTTGCTTCTTTTTTCTATACCGATACCGGATATCCGGTCTAGGGCTAGGTCACCGTGGTAGTAGTAGGTCAGCCCGACAAGTGACGTCAGACATAAACATCCGGCGACCAATAAAAACCCTGATGATGAAGTAAAACAAAAGGTATTTTTAAAAAACACACATTGAAGACCTAAAAATAGCAACGGACATTGACCTGGCATAGACTGGTCACCTGACAAGTGGAGATTCCTTTGGGGAGTCCACTCTCTTCCCGGTCGTCGCAGAAGTGCGAATCCCCCTCCACAAATAGTGTATGGTCATTTATGGGGGGAGTGGTCTAGCTGTAGAGAGCTGGACTGCTAATGAAAAGACCCCATCCTCGCTTTTAATAAGAGCAGATTAAATAGCGCAACACTCTAGGGGACGGCGTGGCCTAGCGGTAGAGAGCTGGACTGCTAACCCGTAAGTCTCGAGCTCGAATCCCGGGTTCAAGTCAATAGACAGTCCCTGAGTCCTTCATACTCGGATGGGTAACTAACTCACGTTAGTTGCAATACCAAATTATTCACAGTCAAAGTTATGGATCTAGAATGATACTTGGAGTTAATGTTTTCTACAGGAGATCTATTGAATGGGGGCTGTTTCATCTGGAGACTTATTGTAGGAAGCCGTATTAACCTTAAGTTATGTGCCTAATGTTACGTGCCTATAGTTACCTGCCCAATATTACGTGTTTAATGTTATGTTCCTGACGTTTATTTCACAATAAAGATAAAGAAGATTTCATGAAAGAAACCGTTAAAACAAGCATTTTTCACGAGCGTAATGGATTTTTTAAAAAAATGGATTATTAGTCTAGCGCTTTTTGCACGGTTACAATACTTTCTCTACACTTGGTACACGAGAAAGTAAAAAAGACAGTTCGAGTTCCTTTAACCGAACACAGGTGGAAATGTTCGATTCCGACACTTTCTCGTCTTATCTGCGACTGGTCTAAACAAATACACAATTCTCCTTGCATGCCTAGTGTTTGTGCGTGTCCGTAGGTCAAGTCTGCTGCAGGTAAATAAATCAACACAGGTACGACATGCGGGCTGCAAGCGGCAGGAACCAGTGCTTCTTTCAGGCATCTCCCCGAACTAAATAGAATTTATATAGAAAATATATTTCCGCCCCCCCCCCCGGAAAATTTTGTCCGTTCCCAACCTGAAAGTTTCAAGTGCCCCCCCCCCCCCATCACGAGAAAAAACAGTCTGAAAGAAACACTGGCAAGAGCAGAAGAGCAGACTTACGAAAGGTACTCGGGTTTAATTATTTTAATCCCTCAACTTGGTTTAATTAGGTAGATTATAATACGTCGTCTATAAATGACGTCCCACTCGTAGGAAGGGGGGGGGGGTAACTAAATTTGTGACGATGTGTGATGAGGGGGAGGGAGGTTGTTCAGATAGTGTATCGCCTCTTTTTGTTGATTTTCAAAAATGTAAAGTTAGAAGCTGAATTTTGGCAGTTACTTTGCGCTTTGGAAAACTGTTTTTATAAATTGTAAAAGTAATAGATTAGTTTACTTTGTTTTTACCGAACATCGTCAATATTTTAGAAAACAAATCTGGTCTGGCTTTTTGTATCTAAATGGGAAGTAACCATAACAATCTTCAATAATTAGTTTAATCAATATTTTATTGTGGGTTACCTTAATGAACAATGATGTAAATGTAAAACATTGATATTTTTATTATTATATATTAGATCTATAACATATACATAATAAATAATATATATATATATAATAAATATATATATATATATTCTTATTTATATACACACTTACATTATACATATATAAATATATATTTATTTGTTTTTGTGTAGAAGAGTCTTATTATCATCGAAAGTCTAAATCTATTGTATCCTCTGAAAATTTTTTTTTTAAATCTCTTTTGAAAAATAACTGAAGTACCATCCCGTCGGGTGGGTCATTAAGAAAACCCATCTGTCCGCGTGCCTTTGAAAGTGACGGGACAAGTAAATTATAAGTTTTTGGTAGTCATTTCCAGAAGCAGGTGGTATTGACACTAATGGTGTTCGACCATTGTGATTTAAGTTTTCTGTTTTCTATTACAACGGCTCGTAGGTCTTCATTACATGGTTGTTAGAGAAATCTATTTTCATTTTATTTTGAACATTGGCTGCTTCATCATATAATTCTATTTTCATTTTATTTAAACACTGACATTGTTTTAGAAATCTATTTTTATTTTATTTTAACAAATATTCGTGATTTGATTGTAGAAAGTTTTTTCATTTAATTTTGAACACTGGCATTGTTTTAGAAATCTATATTTTAATCACTATTTATAATATGGTTGTAGAAATCTGTTCCAATTTATATCAAACACTATTCGTGACTTTAGTGTAAAATCTATTAATTAAATAAAATAAAGATAAACATCACCTCGTTAAAGCTAATACAGTCTTTAGTATTTTCGATTTTTAACTTCATAAACTTTTACATCGACCTTTTAAAAAACGAATCCTATAAAATAAACTAGGCATGCTGCCCAGCTTCGCTTAGGCTTTCGAAAACATTGAGAATGTGAATGCTTAATTAATTCGCCCGAGGGTCGGTCTACGACCTCAAGAGTTATGAAGAGGTTCCTCCGTGGACATTTGTTTTCGATTTATAGCTCATATAAGGTACCGGTCAGTCGAGGTCAGTTTTGACCCCCTCATCGTAGACTTTTCGGCCAACCGGCCCCCGTGCTCTGTCGCCCCAAGGCAAGATCCTGCCAAATTTGAAGCGCCTGCGGCGCCGGGAAGTGCCTTATCGGACACCCGACAATCTAGATCTAGATCTAGAATCCTAATTGAATTTTTTTTTTTTTAAGTTTAGTCCGAGCAAAATAATAAAAAAAAAATACATTAACCAAGTTGACTTGGTGGGTCTCGAACCCGCACCACCTGCGTGGGTTATAGTACACTAACATCTCCGCTATTTAGGCACCTTATAAAATACAGAGAATGAAAGAGGTATTTTAAAATCTTAACTTACGCGAATATGCCTATTCTTTCAAATTAATTTTTTTATCCCAAATTAGCCAGTTCCAAACAAAGATTTTGTATAAATAAATGTTATGAGTTTAGGCCGGAAAATTGTATTGTATACATTTCATAGTGTACGTAGATCTAAATCAAATTTGAATGAAATAGTTCATTTCTTTTTTATTTTAAACACGGCAGATGACGTCATTAGTAAGCAATAGTGTCGTCACAGTTTTATGCGTTCTTTTACACATCTATTAATGCTTTTCCGGTTGCATAAATAATACTGTTTCTCTATATTCGAATACGCCTTGATTTTTTATTTTTCTTCTTTAAATAAAATTGTGGTTTTACATTTAAAACATCTAACATATTATTTTCAACAAAAGTCCGTATGAAGTTCTCCATATATCGCTGCCGTTTCTGACGTGATGTCCGGCGAAAAATTTTTGCGGACAGAGAGAGAGAGAGAGAGAGAGAGAGAGATGTGCGAACGTGGCCCATTATAGTATTAGATACATGAAAATGTGTGATAACTTACGTTGTTGGTCCATAACTTTTGAAACAAACATTCTATAATCCTAACAAGTTCCTGAATTGAGAAAAAAATATTCAATCCGTTTCCTTAGAAGAGAAAGATCAGCTTATTCCAAAACCAGCAACCCACATTCACACAACGCCAATTACACAGTAAAGCTCCGGTATTATCTACGTCACGATGTCTTTTATGAATGGTCGGTCTTTATAGTGAAGAAAATTCACACACCTAGAACTGGTTAGTAATCAATAGGTAGAAGACTACCTGACTTCCCCTATTTTTATAGTACCTGGTTCCTCCCCACCCCTCCCTCCCCGTCCCTCACCAAACAGGCGTTGCTTTTTAAAAAATACTGCCGTTAGATTTGAAAATAATCATTTTTCGAGCGTCTGCGGGTCGAACTGAAAACTGCTTTTGTTAGCATCTATAGCTTATCCCTAAACCTAGCCCTAGCCCTAACCCTAACCATAACCCTAACCCTAGACATTTCTCCCTGACTACAACCAAGATCCTAACAGCGATACCAACACGAAATATGTAATCAGATACTACGAAACACTACTGGCCTAGCGAAGTATTTTATGTGTAGTAATAATGACGTTAAGTGGTGGGAAGGGTAATCACATTGTTAGGTATATTCATCTATACAAGCACACCCGATTTCAGTTCAAACATACTATGATAGAAGGATAGGGATATAGGCTTATTTGCTGTATATTAAAAAAAAAAGCTGTAGAATATAAAAAAATAGTTTCATTTTATTTTACCATTGTTTCTGATACAAACTTAAAAAAAAAAACGAATTGTAATCTTCTTTTTTTTTGTTGTTGACAGAGCAGGTGAAGTAGAGTTTGTCTTGGTTAGTGGGAACCACATGTGAAACGTGGTGCGGTGTGGTCGAGTGTTAGAGCGGTCGACTGCTGGCTCGGATATCAAGTTCGTATCTCGGTCCTGACTTGTGACTGCTGGACTTGCCTGAGTCTGATGGGTACACGAATCACGTAAGGGAAAGTAAAGACGGGTGGGTTTCGTGCTGACCACACCATCCCTTCAAATGCCAGGGTCAAGAAACATGAACTCTACTTCATCTACATCGTAACGTCTGAAAGGGGAACCCTACTTTTACACGTGAAAAGCGTGAGTGGCTATAACAAAACAACAAGTTTCAAAATCTTCCTATTTCTTGAAGAAATCTAAGTGTACATTAATTAATCATCGAACCACCCCCCCCCCCCCCCTATCACGTTTTACAGAGACCACTAGATAAAGTAATTTACCTGAGCCCCTGAATTAAGACCATAGGGGCTCGGGTGTGCCCCATGACACGCCCCTAAATCAGATGTTTACATGCCCCGCCCTCGCCTAATGTAAACACCATGTTTAAGTGAACCACCGATCATACACAAACCCTAGCTGAAATTATTTGACCCGTTACATTATATAAAAAGGCCCCTCGTTTTACCATGTGCGCCTTTGCCTCTTATAAAAATCCCTAAAAATATTGAAATAAATAGAGCATAACAAACTAAAGTAGAACATATATACTTTTAAAATATCCTAAGTAGAAAACAAATGAATGAAGTTGGGATTCGGTACTTGTATTTTGGCGCTAAGATAAAAAAAAAAACCCTCTTTTGTATTGGATCAAAAGAGAGGTCTAGAGTATAAAAGACTTTTGAAAAGGTGTGCATACTGGCAGCGGTGCTTGCTTCTCATATCTTACGTTAGCGGATCTCAAAAATACTTGGCGGCCCAGCGGGTTTGTATTATGCGCAGAAATATTATTTGCCGTCCAGCCAAGAGCATTGGATAGACTGTGTAGTAGAAACTTCGTTATTATATGTTTTAGTCTTGTACGAAATACAGAGGCGTAGCGACCCTTCCGGGTGCCCGGGGACAAACTTTCGATTTTCACCCCCCCCCCCCCCCCCCTCGAACTTTTCATTTGCACCCCCCCCCTCAAACTTTCAATTTGTTTTTCCAACCCATTTTGGCGCCCCCCCTAAGGTCGGCGCCCGGTGACATATGCCCCCCCTCGCTACGCATCTGACGTAATATTACAGATTATTTTGTCCAAGTAATTGTATTGACAATTATTGTTACGATTTATAGGGCCCTGTTATAAGCGCAGTTAGCTGGGATAGTTTTTTTTTTCATTAGGCTTTAGGTTTTGGTTTTTAAGTGCTCAAAGGCAGTTGTTCTTAACCTCTTTAGAGGTGCCGAACCCCACCAGCTTCATATATGCACTTACCGAACCCTTCTTAATAGTTCTATCGTCCGCACTGACAAAATCCCATTGTGAATCATATATCGGGTGTGTGTTTTGACCTCCACCGAACCCATGAGACGGACTCGCCGAACCCCTGGGGTTCGATGGAACCACTGCTCGAGGGTTATAGGATTCAGTGCTGGATATAAAAGTAGTTCAACAAGCTTCATCTTTGAAATCCCACCTCCTCATTTTTATATTTTTTTGAAAAAAAAAATGAGCCAGCAAAACCTACACGCGATTTTTTAAACATTTTGTTTCCAATTCTTAAGCCCCCCCCCCCCTCTTTCACGTATAGTGGAATAATAATAATTTTAAAAAAAAAAACACTTACAAACCGTCTCTGGTATTTCACCTATCAGTATCATTGAGCCTGTAATGCGTGCCACATCAATTTAAACCCTGACTACAGATACCGTGATGTGAGATCCACTGGTTTAGAGATCAACACAGTGAAAACAACCTGACAAAAAAAAAACACGCTGCGACTATTGACTAAAAGTACAGCTGTTTTTATGCGCAGGACTACGTTTTTTACAGCCGTGTTGGTTATCGTTCTTTGATAATATTTAATATACTAAAAAATGGCCATGGCTCACCTGTTGATCATCCCTGTTCATTACACCTATGTCATAAACACCACAGATGTCAAGTCTATCTTTCATTTTTCTCCGCAGCTGGGGGGGGGGGGGGGGGCGTAAATTTCCGGGGGGGACGGGCACACACACTGAATATATATATATATATATATATATATATATATATATATATATATATATATATATATATATATATATATATATATATATATATATATATATATATATATATATATATATATATATATATATATATATATATATATGCCTATACATATCTTCTTCTTCTATATATATAATTCTCTTCATGGGGACCATAGAAAACACCACGCAGCTTAGCCACCACCCTCATCCCCACCTGTCATGTGAGTTGTGGTTCACCCTGAATGTTTACAATAGTAGAGCCGGTTCGATTAAGTGACGGCTATTAGGGGCAGATAATTTAGTTTTTAAACGATTTGAAACTTAAGGGGAGATAATACGTTCTGCTTGATATTTTCATTGTCGTCTGTAAACGGCTGCTTTCACTGTGCGGGGTGGGGGAGGCAGGGGGTTGGGGTAGTGTCGAATTCACAAATTACGAATTATTGATAAGTAGAAAATAAAACAACTAGATAGCGGCGTATGCTACGTCGCGGGTCAGCTCGTATATATAATTTCTCCCCTGTGGGTGGGTGGGTGATGTACTTTCTCGGAAGGGGAGGGGGGCAGTGAAAGAAACTCTGCGAAATGTCACTCCTCCTTGTAATCGCCGCCCTCTAGAGAATAACTATATAATAATATACATGTAACCGGCAAAGTGAGAAACATGGCATTCTCGAGAAGATATAGGTATTCTATTGAATAAAAAAGCATATACCGATAACCCTAACCGTTAGGGTTAGGTAACCGTAACCGTTAGGTTTAGGATTATAGTAAGTTCAAATCGTAATCGACAGCGCTGTGATGGGGTGTGTGTGTGGGGGGGGGGGGGGCAGTTCTACTCCAGTTTTGGGCTGGAAAATATAAAGGGGAATAAAGACCCGGGGGTTAAAGTATGGGGTGGGTGTGGAGGGCGACTGTGGAGTCAATTTTTTTAAAAAAAAAAGGGGGGGGGGGGTAATATTCTGCACTTATTTAAAAATGGTGCAGGGATAATTACAGTGAGTCGAAATCCCCCATTTGCAGCTGTAATTTTCCATAAATAACTACACCTTCTATTGTGGAGAGGGGGGGGGGTGTCCGCATTGTTGTGACATATATCGTGGGGGGGGGGGGGGGGGTGGGGGGAGTTCCTAAAGATGTGGCACGTTGTTTCAAGACAAAATAGAGGTATGATGGAGCAACTAGGCATTGAAATAAATTACATAATATATAGTATAGTCTTGATTTGGCATGAGCTAGAAATGTCAGCGGGATATTAAATGTGTGGCATAAAGCTGAAAAAAAAAAGGACGAAAAATTCTGTTCTGGATTTATTTTCAACGGGAATAAACTGTTTTTATCTGATTTAAAACAACTGTAAAATGACGTACACACGATTATCTGAGCTTTTTTCGTGCAAAAATATACACTTCTAGTTTTTAAATCGTCTGCTTGGCGATTCACTGCGGGATTATAATGTTTATAAAATGGCGGACGGTGACGGCTTTAACATTCCGAGCACACTAAACAGCAATGAAATTGAAAAAGACAAAGATAAAGAAGACTGCTGGAAACAGCTATATCAAGAGCTGTTGCAGAAAGATACAACGTCATCCTCCGAAGACAAGATAGGCTGTTTTGGAAGACCAGGTTCTGAAATAGACAAGAAAGTTGAATTCAAAAATAAGTTCGGTGAAAAAATTTCAGCAGTACCCGTTGTGATCGATTTTAATCGCGTGTTTAAACTTAAGCAAACAAAAGATGGTAGCAGTGTTGTATCAGGGGTAAGGTTTTATTAACTGAATTACTAAATTATATTGAAAGTCATGACACTATTACTATCATAGTTCATAGATAGTGGAGTTGTGAGTAATTTGGCAATTAATTTAAAATTTAAGTTTAATTTGAAATTAGCTTTAACAGCTAGGGATCATTCTAATTATGTTATTGATTTTATATAACATCAGTATTTCTAGATCTATAACTATTTCATATTCTTATAGGTAGGCTGTTACAAATTCAGAAACGATCACATCCCCTTTTATGGGCCATGGAAAAATAAACTACAAAAACTCAAAAACTTATTCTACTTTCAGTTATTAACTCTTTAAAACTTTGATTCCAATGAACATAAAATTATATACTACATTTAGCCACAACTCCTGCAAGTCTTTTTGGAAAGACTTTTTTAAAGAGCGACTTATAATACACAAAATAACAAGATGATAAACCACCATCACAACCTCTTCATGTTGGATTATGTTCACAATCTTCTGTACTTGAGATAAACAAATAATAAAATCATATGTTTTGTATTAAATGCAAGCAGCATGTTGATAATTCCAATCTGATAGTTATTTTCCCATCAACAAGCTGGTTAGAAAACTTTTTATGTTTATTATCTTTCATTCATTATTTAGTATTTCTTTTCTTCAAGTCACTTAATGCAACCTAACAGTTTAAAAGCATATTCTCAATTGCTTGCAGGTTTCTAATAGAGATCTCCTACACGCTGTGTGTGGACTATATGACATCTCCCTCCCTGACATGGAGTCTGAAACCATTTACAATACAGTTTGTGCCAAGTGGGCAAGGACAATTGTTTTAGTACAAGATGTCAAAGGTGGAGATATATAAATGATATTTTTATGTGTAGATTATTGATTATGGAAATTAGATAAGGAAAATTCTAAAATAAATAGATAGAAACTGTGGTTAATTTTGCTAGTATTTATACATTCATAATAATATGTATATATATATATATATATGGGATCTAATTTTTTTTTAAATATTTAAATGTAAGCTGGACATTTTTCCAAACAGATTAAATTCAGCTGTGGTATATATTTTGGTATTTAGGAACTAAGTTGAGCTTGGGCAAGCCACCTCAAAGCAATTTTATTTTTTGCTAGAATCATAGGGAATAATGGCCACATAAATTATTTACTAGCTGGGTACAACTTCAGGGAATACCTACAACCTTGGCAGTGTTTGCAGAAGGGTTTTTTTTTTATGGATAAAACCTGACAACTACAAACTAGATGAGCTTGCTACTATAGTGATAAACAGTATCTGAAACAGTATTAAATGCAACTACAATCTTCTAGTTTTTAAAAATATAATAACATTAACACCATCAATTTAAACAACAGGTAACATGTAAAAAAGTTTAAGAACCACAACTCATATTGCTTTAAAAAATTTTCTTTGTTAAGATGCTTTAAATGAAATGATGGAAAGAAGTATTAAAAAGAAGTCCAAAGTCCTAACAGAGGAAGAAAAGAAAAAAGCTGAAGAAATTAAATCCCGTGAAAATGCATGGAAAAGTAAAGTTGATGAGAAAGAAGATATTTTTAAAGAGGAAGAAGAGGTGAACCTCAGTGCTTTCATTGATGTATTTAGTGACACTGATGAGGATGATGATGAGGAAGAAAGTGATGATGATGAGGAAGATGAAGATGGGTAAGCGGATACATTCACTAATATTCTAGTATGATGTACATTGCATTATTTTGTTTAAAAAGTGAAGAAACTGTATAAACGTGACATAACTAACAGTTCTTCTGTTTATTTGACCTCAGTGTATGAATGGATTATGTGGTTAGCACTTTACCCAACAATATTCACCTCACCCTTTACTGTAACATACTTTTTCTAAAATTTCTCTTGTTGAGTATGGTTTTGAAAAATCATCCTTCTTAAAAATCTTACCCTTCTTCTTAAAAATCTGACCCTTACAAATATATTATTTAAAGTCTAATGTTTAGCCAGTTTAATGAACTTGTTGCATTCTATAAAAAATTTTATGTTTTATTACCAGGTCTATCCATTTTATTATTCATCATCTATAATAATAGTTTCGCTGTCTATGTATCTGACAAGAACGCTCTAGAGAAAAGACAAGCAAATTAAAAACATGCATAGTAATTCAAAAAACGAAATATGACGTTACATTTAGCATAGAGTAAAAAATAATCTCAAGCCGGAGAGTGCACACAGTAATATGACGTCATTGATTCTCGAGTAAACATTGAATAAAAAGGCAATTTTATCTAATCTATCTACAAATGCGACCAGTGTTTCTTTCAGACTTTTTCCTCCCCGGAGAGGGCTGGGGATACTTGAAATTTTCGGGGGCGGGGGTAGAATTTTCTGGGAGGGGGCGGACACTGGAAAAAGTATATAATTATATTTCGTTGAATGGGATGGTAGACATGTTTTGGAGTGTGTGTGTGGGGGGGGGGGGGGGGGGGGAGGGGGGGCGAAGCACCCTCCTCCCAAGTAGAGTTGCCTGAAAGAAACTCTAAATGCGACTTTTGTCATGAATAAGATTAGGTGCATGGTTTAGGGATATGCCTATGACTATATTTTGTATAAATTAAAGTACCAAGAAAATAGACAGCACTATCAACCTAGCGCCCGTTGTATCCTTCCTCAGCGGGCCATTTTTCTCGTCATCTAATAAATAGCCAGTTTGATGAACTTTGCATTCTATAAAAAAGTGCATGTTTTATAACCAGGTCTAACAATTTTATTATTAATTGTCTAATGTTTAGCCAGTTTAATGAACTTTGCATGCATTAAAAAAGTGTATGCTTTATGACCAGATCTGATGAGGACTATACTAAAGGAATTCACACATTTATAAGTGGATCATTTGAAAGACGGAAACTGCGTGAGAACTGTGACTGTTTGATTCCAGATGCAGCTGTTGGTATTGAGAACAGGATTCTAGGATGTGTCACTTTTGAGAAGAAATTCATGTAAGATGCGTGTTCATCATTACAACCATATGTAAATGTTTTATTAAGACCTTTAAAATATAAATAGTAGTAAATAGGTACTTTATGTTTCTAAAGAAGCCTTGTTTCAATACAGTCAGAAAAGAAGGGTAATAAACCCTAATAAAAATTTTCTTTTTTTATTCAGCCAACAGAAAGAACGCATCATCCACTTAACATTGATCAGTGTTAGACCCAGGTATCGAAATTATAAAATAGGTCGCTATTTATTATCAGTAAGTAATTAGTTTATTATTAAAAAAAAATTTTTTAATAAAATTAATTGTTGCAAAATTAAAACAATTTATAAAGTCACACATTAAGTAGGTTCCAATTGAGCTTGTTTGTCAGTTTAAGTATAAGTGTACTTTGTAGTTTAAGATTATGTTAAAGATGCATACTTGAGTCTGTGTGAGTGAATTATGTAAAGCATAGGCATTTGTTAATCTTTTTTTTAAAAATTAAGGCCCTTTAAAATTATTTCCCTTAGTGTAGTAAAAAGTTTTTGTTTATTTTTGTCCTTAGAAGTGTATCTCCCCTGCAGTGACAGGCCAGTACGAGGCAGTTGTGGTTCATGCTGACAACTCGGCAGTAGATTTCTTCAAGAAATATGGGTTTTCTTCTGATGTCATTTTAAACACAAAGTGGGAGTGAGTTGTTGTTTTTTAACTTGTGTGTGTTTATTATGTAGGAGCTAAACAAAACTTGTAAAACTTAAAAACTCTTTTCAGGACATGGTATTTAAAATATCTAGAATTAAGTAATTTTGAATTTAAATAGACGTCTAAATCAGTACTTTAAATAATGTTAACAGCCTTTTTGTAATTTACTCTACAGTGATATAGCAGATGCTTTCACTAACTGTACACTGATGAGTTATTTCCCTGCATTTTCTGGTGAGTGACTGCAAAATTTGTTTGATACATTGATGCCAGCCCGTACGAATCTTCCACTGACTGTTTACACATTTCATTCCTCACTTCATTACACTTTACACCTTTTAAATATTTTACACGCTATATTTATCAATGTTCATAACTCACTATACCAACTGTCTTTGTATTTTACACATTTTATTTGTCAATGTTCATGACTTTCTATACTGTTTTAATATCTTACACATTTTGTATGTCACTGTTGCAGGTCATAAATTGTTGTACACAGATGTCAGTGCAGAAATAGATGCAGAAATGTATGACATTGACCAGGAACTAGAGATGTGGTCAGTAGAAGCTTGTAGGAACTATAAGTATAATGAGTAGTTTTTATTACTGGGAAAGTGTGGAAACTAGATATGTGTTGCATACATCAAATACTGTAATATTTTTAGCTCTAAATACTAGAAAACTTATATCATGTTGGTGTTTTGGTAAAGTGTATGACAGGAAGATCTATTTTTAAATTCAACTCATGGCCCATCGAATATTTTTATGGGGGGGGGGGGGTGAATTAAAAAAGCAGTCGTAAATTTGGTTTGCAGTACAGTAATAGAGGAACTCTACTTAATCTCTATCATGGCTACAAAGACTTTAGTGGACATGGATAAATATTGAAAAAAAGATCTTTGTTAAACAGAATAAGTACATTATAAATGAATGCTATGTGCTAGATTTAAAAATACAGTATTTATTGGATTTAAGTAAAGTTATTTCATTCTGAATGTTAGCTTAAAGAAGTAAGTAATTTCTGTTAAAACTAAACACAACAACAAAACAACACTTTGTTTAAACCAAATGACTATGTCAGAATAAACAAACAACAATGACAATGTCAGCCAGTAGTTATACTGAACTCAAGTTCCTTCCTCAATTATTTAGTTTTAATTTCCATTACATTCTTAGTTTCTGTTTTCTTTCTGTAATTAAACTTTGATTATGATTCTAGGCAGAAAAAGAGCAAACAAGCATACCAGGGACAGCTGAGCTGTGCGATGAAGTTCAGAAACGAGATCTTACAGTTAAAACATATTGTAAGTTCAGGGAGTTTCTTTGCTGGTCCTTTAGTTTCTGTTACACTTAAAACCTGTTAAAATTTGGACAATTGATTTGAGTATTTATCAGCTTGTTAGTCAGTTTGTCTGTTTACCTACAGTATGAAAAAAATCAAATATCATTATAGATTTGAAAAATATTTTTGTTATAGTAAGTCTAAAAAGGAATGATTAAGTGTTATAGTAAGTCTAAATAGGAATAATTGAATGATATAGTAGGTCTAAATAGGAATAATTGAGTGTTACAGTAGGTCTAAATAGGAATGATTGGGTCTAAGATGTTTTAGAACACAAAAATAGTAATGTAAATTACAATTAGCTTTCAAGTAGCTATTTGCTAGACTAGTTTTTAAATTTTATTTTTTAAAATATTTACTTGGGAGGGGTGTGGGTAGAACACGTGTATGCTAACCCAAAATACCTGAAATCTGTAATAAACTCAATTTCTGTTTCCAATGTACAGATCAAGTCACAAAATGAATTATTAAAAAATTATTTAGCTGAACACAATGGAAACAAAGAGTTGATGCCTTTAGGTGAGTTCTTCTTTACAATGGGTCCTCTAAATGTACTTCAGCTCTAAACTAAACCAGCATAGGGACATTCTTTTTTAGATTTATTTTATGGTTTATAATATTGACAGTTAGAAATTAATTTTTTAACCTTTTATAAACTGAATCCTTAGTTCAATAGTTTGGTAAACTATAGGTAATTTAAACAGTTTTATATACTAAATATAATAAATTGAATACTTTTAGGCCTACTGTAGATAGTTAAACATGCATTGTAATACAGGGAGTTTTTACCTACTTTACAGAGAACGGAATTTTAAATCTACAACTAGACAAGCTACAAAAGTCATTCAAAGAATCCGTGAAACCTTTACCAGATGGTAGGATGACATCCACATCATTATATAACATTACATTACATTTCATTACAATATGTTACGTTATGTTATGTTATGTTGCATTGCAATTTATTCCATTCCATTCTAATCCATTGCAACCAAACAACCTAAATATCATCTAAAACATCATTACATTACATTTACACTAATAATAGCCATGGGACAGCATGGTGGAATGGTAGAATGCTCAACTGCTAATCTGAAATGACACTGACTTATGTGACTGATATAAAAACTAAAAATTGGAGCACTCATTGTGACATCCCCAGATAAGATGACACTGACGTATGTGACTGATATAAAAACTAACAATTGTAGCACTACCTGTGACATCCCCAGATGAGATGACACTGGTGTATGTGACTGATATAAAAACTAACAATTGAAGCTCTAACAATGACATCCCCAGATGACATGACACTGACGCCACCATCAGAACCTGTGACACAGGAGTCATCTAACAGCAGCAACGTTGACATCATTTCAAGGTTTGTTCAAGCCATGGAGATGGATAGCAGTATAAAAGTGTTTTATACTGTCACTTCACTATTGAAGGTACGACAAAAGTTGTATTACAGAATGGTTGCAGTATAAAAGTGTTTTATACTGTCACTTCACTGTTGAAGGTATGACTCATTTGGTGTTGTATACAAGGGTGCATTATAAAAGTGTTTTATACTGTCACTTCACTATTGAAGGTACGACATAAGTTTTAGTACACAAAGGATGCAGTATAAGTATATTATACTGTCACTTTGTTTTAAGGTATGAGATGGTAGAGTTCAAAAGGCTGAATTTTTAATTTTGTCAACACAACATAACCACAATGAGGCTAGATTTTTTATGTTTTCTGAATGTGATTTTAACCAAATTTTTTGTACAGCCAGGTGATTTTTTTCCCACATTGTAAGCTAAAAGATGTTGACCAGAATAAATCAGATTGCATACTGAAGTGTACACCCCAGGTGTATTCTGTTAGTTATTTTAAAAAAATAAGATTGATGGATGGTAAATGGGAGACTTATTTTAACCCACTCACCCATTTTACTGTGTTTTATAAATAGTTTTGTTAAAATGGTTGCCTTACCTAGGCCAAAATCAGCTCAAAAGTGCAGGCCAAGTTTGATAAAATGTTTTGTTAGAATTGTTATATTCTGTTTTACCTAGGCCAAAGTCAGCTCAAAAGTGCAGGCCAAGTTTGACGCTACTGTGGCAGGTCTGGGTGACCCTAACATGGTGACACACATGTACTACTGTGGTTCCCTGGACAAGTCAAGCAGACTGCCCCATATACTGGACCATGGGTTTACTGAAGATGGTTAGTATGGATTTACATGAAATATTAATTTCACTATTGCTCAAAGACTTGAAAAAATTAATTTTGTTTTGTTCCCTTTATCTAAAATCCAAATTTTAAATTTCAGTATTGTTCGTGTTTTTCTTCGTACTTGATTTTTAGTGTAGGAAGGGATTTCCTCCAACACAATTAAGGATACATGTCAACTGGTTATGCGCCATTGAGGCCATTGACTCCAATTTCAGCTTGTTTTTCTTTTTGAATTGGCTTCCATAGCCTTTATCCAACCAAGAACAAACTACAAGGCAGCAGGTGTTTGATTTTAGAGTTGTGTCTCCTAAGAGAATTAGTGTCCCCGACTATCTAGCCTTATCTGAGACATTTGGGTTTAGCAACCATGAGCTTTACCGACTGGACCACTCCAAACTCCTCAGTATTGTTCAATAAAAGATAAATTAATGAAAATTTATTTTACCTGCCTTTAAATTAACACAAGATTTTAAATTTTATCATTGTTCAATTAGACTTAACTAATTAAAAAGGTTGTTTTGCTGTCTTTAACTTGATACCAAGTTCAGTTATCAGTATATATCATCTGACTAGAAATAAAAAGTTTTTACATTTGTCTCCCATGCAAAATATCTGTTCCCTATGTAAATTCATGCTCACCTCTGTCTTGTTTTTTTTTTGACATCAAGTTGGCCGGCAGCTAAAATATGTGGTAGCATTAATGTATAATATGTGGTAACATTAATGTATAATATGTGGTAACATTAATTTATAATATGTGGTAGCATTAATGTATAATATGTGGTAACATTAATGTATAATATGTGGTAACATTAATTTATAATATGTGGTAGATAAAAGAGACCTGGCTATGTTTGCCATATTCCATTAGCCTTTTTGTTTTTAAACCTATGTCATTGATTTAATAAACTGATCTTAGTGTAATACAAATAATCATTTAGCTCTACAACAATACTAATGTTCTGATGGAAAGAAAACATGATTTTGTTAAATATTTAACATTTTGATTACTACTTTATCTTCGGGTCAATATACCCAGTGTCTAAACAAATAGAGCTAAAAATTTCAAGTAACATAACACTTGTTAAGTTAAAATCAATAAAAGCCATGTTGATGTCAGCACAGAATTAGCAACAATAACAAATCCACTAATCAACGTTTAAAAAGATATTTTAAAGAAATAGAAACAAGCTTTGGCCAGTTACAATAGAAATTTTTACCATAGCAACCATCAATCAAAGTAGGTCATGTTGCATGTATTTTTTTTTCCCCAGTGTACAGATGACCACTTTAGTAAATAATGCTCCTTCAGGGAAAGTGACATATTATTTTCAGTTTTAATATATCATAAATGGTGAAATGTATAGGAGATTTTTTTTTTTACAGCAATATTGATTGAATTCAATGCTAAGTACTTTATGCCTGCTTACCCTTTCTTCACTAACTTTACAAACATGTCTTCTTTGTTTTTATTCAGATTGTATTTTATTTATGGTTACCATGGTAACTCCATTCATGATTTTTATAACTAGTTGTTTCAGCAGGGTATATTCTATGTCTTGTTTACGTTGTTTATTTTTTTTTACTCTACCAGATTTTTCACCCGGGGAATTTGGACTTGGGCTTTATTTTTCACGTTATCCATCAAAAGCAGCTCAGTTCTCAGTGGTGAGTTTTTGTCTGGTCTGTCACATAACTAATTTCTAATGTCACATACTAATTCCTTCTGTCACATACTAATTCCTTCTGTCACATACTAATTCCTTCTGTCACATACTAATTCCTTTGTCACATACTAATTCCTTTGTCACATACTAATTCCTTCTGTCACATACTAATTCCTTCTGTCACATACTAATTCCTTCTGTCACATACTAATTTCTGTCACATACTAATTCCTTCTGTCACATACTAATTCCTTCTGTCACATACTAATTTCTGTCACATACTAATTCCTTCTGTCACATACTAATTCCTCCTGTCACATACTAATTCCTTCTGTCACATACTAATTCCTTCTGTCACATACTAATTCCTTCTGTCACATACTAATTCCTTCTGTCACATAACTAATTCCTTAGTCACATAACTAATTCCTTCTGTCACATACTAATTCCTTTGTCACATACTAATTCCTTTGTCACATACTAATTCCTTCTGTCACATACTAATTTCTTCTGTCACATACTAATTCCTTCTGTCACATACTAATTTCTTCTGTCACATACTAATTCCTTCTGTCACATACTAATTCCTTCTGTCACATAACTAATTCCTTCTGTCACATACTAATTCCTTCTGTCACATACTAATTCCTTAGTCACATAACTAATTCCTTCTGTCACATACTAATTCCTTCTGTCACATAACTAATTCCTTAGTCACATAACTAATTCCTCCTGTCACATACTAACTCCTTTGTCACATACTAATTTCTTCTGTCACATACTAATTCATTCTGTCACATACTAATTCCTTCTGTCACATACTAATTCCTTCTGTCACATACTAATTCTTTCTATCACATACTCATTCCTTCTGTCACATACTAATTCCTTCTGTCACATACTAATTCCTTCTGTCACATACTAATTCCTTCTGTCACATACTAATTCCTTCTGTCACATACTAATTCCTTCTGTCACATACTAATTCCTTCTGTCACATACTAATTCCTTCTGTCTCAAAACTAATTCCTTCTGTCACATACTAATTTCTAATGTGACATACTAATTCCTTCTGTCACATACTAATTCCTTCTGTCACATACTAATTCTCACATACACCTATTTATCTGTTATGTTCTATTGTCAGATAATATCAAGTAAGTAAAGTTCCCTTTCAAACCTGACGGTCTACAGGGCAAGTGAAGTAGAGTACACTTGTGACCTCAGCATATGAATATCAAGCATACCATTATTGTCATGTGTTTCCATCTATACATTTTGTGATAATAATAAAGAGAGTGTTGGGCCAACATTACTAATCAAAACTTTTCCCCTCCCCTCTCTTATCCAACCAGCTGGGTAAAATTCTAGAGGTGCGTGTGGCTCTGGGTAAAGTGGAGACGGTGATGAAACAGGACAGGACAAGGAGGGCTCCATCTCAAGGATATGATGCTATTTTTGTAAGTCATCACCAGTGTTTCTTTCACTGTTTTCTCCTGGGAGGGGGGGGAACTAAATTTTCCGGTGGGGCCGACACTGGTAAAAGTATATATTTCCTATATAAATTCCACATATTGTCTTCATCTTTTCCTGTTCCCGCCACAAGACACATGGGGCAGATGAAGTAAAGTTCATCTGTTTCAGGATCTCGGCATATGAAGGGATAGAGTAGTCAGCACTATGCCCAGTCATGCTTTCTTTCCCTAACTTGAGTTAGGCACCCATCAGAGCTGTGTGGGCTCAGGGATTATCTACTGACTTGAACTCGGATTTAAACTCAGGACTGTTGGGTTAGCAGTTTAACTCTCTACTGCTAAGCCACGCCATCCTCCTAAAAGTGTCTTAGGGTCTCAATATTTTATTTAATTGCATTGTCAACTTGTGTTTAGTCAGGCAAAGAAAGTAAAAAAAAAAGCTGATTCTTACACAACTAATCAAGTTTTTTTAGTGGAAAAAAAAACCCAGTGTTTCCCTGAGCCCTAATGAGTACCCCTTATTGTTGTCACTATAAATGAGCCACTGTCATTTTAAAATATTTGTATGAAGCCATAAATTAATAGTTGTTTTTTTTAAAAATTACATTGTATTGACTAAAAAAATGTACTGAACAAGTTTAACATGGATTGGAAAAGTTTTCCCTTGTGTTGCAGACGCCTGGCAGACTGTACAGACAAGGGGAGGATGGGAACGGCGCCATGTTGTGCCAGGAATATGTCGTGTTTAATGCCAGCCAAGTGTTGCCACTTTGGCTGATCTCATACAGTGTTTACCCCAACTCATAGACTCAAGCTACTGCTGACAGTCTACACACAGACTGAACAAAGTCATCATTGATAGGATTCTTCAGCCACATAGACTCAACCGTTTCATCAGTGATAACATTTTTCATCAACTGCTTATTTATTTCTCGGAGAAAATATTTTATCATGCTCAATTACTTGCAAAATAAATAATGTTAGTATACGTATATGAATGTTTCATATTTTTATATGGGATCTATGTGCCATATATTTATATAATGTACACATACAAGTGGATTAAATATGTACAAGCAATTATTTGTATTCTTCGACACATAAGCGTGTGGCTGAATTAAAATCAGTGTTCCAGGAAACAGCTTTGTTTTGAATGTTATGGTACCTTCTTCTTTCTTTCTGTACAACTTTTTTTTAGTGACCAACAATAAGGGATTGGAGGGCATATGGTTGAATGGTAGAGCATTTGGCTGCGAGCCTGGATCTCAAGTTCGGATCTCGTTTCAGACTTGTGTCTGTAGGACGTACCTGAGTCCACTCAGCTGTGATGGGTTCCTGACTTACATTGGGGTAAATAAAGGCGACTGGGTGTAATGCTGACCACACCCTCCCTTCATATGACGAGGTCAAGAAACATGAACTCTACTTCATCTGCCCTATGGATCGCTCTGTCTAAAGAGGAATCTATAAGAAGAGAATGTGGGGATTGCTACCTTTATGAAGTTTAGTTAAAAGTGAAGGAAGCTGCTTGTATTACGAACATAATGTAGTATTATAGTTATAATGGCATATTTTAAAATGCCATAGGCAGAGGCGTATCCAGGTTTTCGTTGTAGGGGGAGCGAAAAGAGCAAAAAATGGCGCCGAATTTTTAACACATTCTATATACGTGTATTTTATATATATATATATATATATATATATATATATATATATATATATATATATATATAATTACTAGCTGTATGTCATTACTTCGCTTTGATGGATGTAAAATAAATTGAAAGTAGCACTCTGAAGAAATAAAAAAAACACACAATGTAGGCCGACAAAACAAACATTGTATCAATGTAAACAAAAAAGCAAACAAAATATACACACACTACAACCAAAACAATGAACGTAACACAATCTGTTTTGTAATTCTTGTAAAAAAAATTCTTACATAATAATTCCTGGGAAATTATTTAAGACAAGTGAAATAGGGGAAATAATTACTCTCTTAATATAAATATGTATATATCTACACATTTAATTATAAATGTCAAAACTAATAAATAATTACTTTAGAATGTAATGAAATTATTTAACGCTATTCGTGTTAACAAAATGTTTTTGTCTATAATCAAAATTTAATATATCGTCATCATAAATGCTAAAGTATTACAGCATAATGAAAGTTTTTGAAAACAGAGTTGGTATAAAACCATGCTTTTCGATAAAAAAGATAAACATTCGGAATAACAGCCTACATTTAACTAAATATCGGTCTTTTAGTTCAGATAATATATTTTTTAAATTACTACTGCTTCTTTGCGTTCCTTAAAGATTATTTTTTAACATAGTGATAGGTATGGGTTAGATCACTATATTAATCACACACCTTTTTACTGTCCGGTCACTTTAGGTCAATTATCCCACCCAGTGTATACCTAGGTGTGACATTAATGTCGCTCTACACAATTGTGGTGGTGAGGTGTGTGGGGGGGGGGGGGGGGGGAGATAACCAACTCAGAGTGAACATAGCGTCAGTTTTTAGATGACTGTTCTAAACATACATATATATTACACATGTATACTGATTCAGAAATAGATTTAAATAAGTAGCAGTGGTATTATGACAAATTTTTTTTTTTACAGAGGGGTCCATGGGGGAGGGGGGTTGTAACTGTTTCATATAATTTGTAATCGTAATCACTATCGCCCAAACTGTAAGAATACTACTACTTTATCGTAATGACGTTGACCGTGTCAAAATATCCCCACCGCTACGCAGTTCGCCTATAAGTAAATTTAAATAGAGGTGCCACATCAGTTGTGTGTTTCTGTATTGTAATTTTCAAAAAATTAATCACACGATTCAAACTGTATATATAAAGTAATTATGTGTGAAGTTTTATGTATAACATTTTCTAATGCAATTATTCGTAAGCAAATACATTATACAGTTGCCTTAAACTTAACACCCCTCTTGCCAAGTGGTACTACCGGTAGAGGATTTTTAAAAATTTCAATGCATCGTAATGGTTATTTTTAGAATGGCAAACTGATGCAGCTGTTAATACGTGTTGTAAACGTAGACACTACTAGACTAGTACAATAATGCTTAATTGCTGCATGAAAAGAAATCTTGTGATTTACATAGATGTGCCGACCAAATATATTTTTTCAACAATTATTGTTTAAAACTTTGAGTTTAAAAAGTTTCCAAAAAGGCGCCACTTTGCTGAAAATGGCCAGAGGGGGAGCGGCCGCTCCCCCTGCTCCCCCCCCCCCCCCCTCCCCCTGCGTACGCTACTGGCCATAGGGAAGCACTACACGGAAATTAACGGTATTTTGTATTTAGCGGGTAATTATTATGTTCTCTTGCAAAGGTGAAACCGTAGACCAGCATCGTAGGCCTAGATACTTTTAATAAACAGACAAATCAAACATAACTAGGATTGTTCATAATGCATTATTTAATGACTAGAAACGTAAAAAAAACATAAACTATAATAACTTATAACGTCGCTTCTCCATTCATCCAAACAGTGTTAGCTGGTTAGCCGCAGCTTCCTGATCCACACCCCCCACTTCCGCCACATTTGCCGCCCCCACACCCTCCACCGCAGCCTCCATTACAACCAGCGGCCTTGTTCTGATTCAAAAACGGGTTGCCGCACCCACCTGAGCCGCACCCTGACCCCGACCCCCCACAGCCGCCCCCACTACACCCCGAGCTTCCAGACCTGCCTTTGTTGCTCATGCTATCATCGTCGTCATCAGACCCCCAGCCTTTTCCCGTCCCCGGGTTGCTGTTTCCCCACCCATCAACAGGCTTGTTCTTGTCACCGTCGTGACCCATATCCCCTCCTTTACTTCCTTGTTTGTTCCCATCACTGTTGCCCCTGGGGTTATTATTATTATTATTATTATTATTATTATTATTATTACCTCCCATACCACTTCTGTCCCCTGGGTTATTTCCCCTCCCCCTGCCCCCAGATCCTGAAACCCTCTCTCCCGTTGAGGAGCAGGTTCCATCCTCCTGCCTGTAAACCTTATCCTCATGTGCCACGTACTCTTTGCCTCCACAAAGTGTGTTGATGTTTTGTCCACCGGTCACTACGCATGCGCCCGTGGCCTGGAAGTAAACAAAATAGTATTTATAACTTCAGCCATCTTTAGACTTGCTACTAGCAAAAGTACACAGTGTAAGTGGTTTAGTTTAAATTTTAAAAAATTTTCATGGCCAGTGAAGTATTTTACCATAGATATTAGACTCTAGATCTATCTATTGGGCAACTTTACTAATATTTAGGAAGAGACCCCGCTTTTCTTTACAGTTATTACATTGTAGTGTAACTAATAGTAATATATATATCTAGTTGAAATGGACTGTTTCAATTAAAATAAGGTGAAAAGAAAAAAAAATAAACTAAATCTATAACCCTTTACAAAAGAGCAACTTTGTTTGAAGATAATATACAAATTACGCCCCTTTGTACCAATTACATCCGATGTACAAAAAAAAAATATTTTTAAAAGTTTGTTTTGATGTTTGTGTTTTTGTTTGCTTTACTTTTGCTTGTGTTTACGTGCGTGTTTGCGTTTGTTTTTGCGTTTGCGTTTTGTTACGTTTGTGTTTGCATTTTTTTGGTTGAGTTTGTATTTGTATTTGTGCTTGAGTTTTGTTTGCTTTTGTGTTTGCGTGAGTGTATGCGTTTGAGTTTGTGTTTGCGTTACGTTTGTGTTTGTACTAATTTAGAAAATTTTTATCTAGTTCAAAAAAATTAAATTATTCATCCAATAAAGTCTAATTTTATGTCAGATTGCATTGTCATCGGGTCTTGACCAACGTGCCAAGTTTGAAAGGAATCGGTCTGTTAGAAGTGATCGAAATTTTGCTCGCCCGTTTCGATCAATGACGACAGAGGAAGCAAATTAAATATTTTTTAAAAAAGCTTTTAACAAAAGCTTGTAATAAATCCATATATTTGTTACTCGAACAGACCAAAAAAAAACAACAACAAACGAACAAAGCTACTCACATTGTTGTAATACATGGTGACTGGACAGAAAATGCACGCTCCCACGATGCGGGCGGGGCTACACGTGTAGAAGGCGTTGCAGTAGTCTGGATGGGGCACGAAGTACCCTTCGTCTCTCTTGACAGCATTGATGTCGTTACACATGCTGAGACCTTCACCCTGGTTTCCTTGGTTACCGTAACCACTGCCGCTACCACTTGGGCTACCGTAACCTCTTCCGCTACCACTTGGGCTACCAGAACCACTTGGTGTGCCATAACCACTAGGGCTTCCTGAACCACTTGGACTACCATAACCACTTGGGCTACCATAACCACTTGGGCTGCCAGAACCACTTGGTGTTCCATAACCACTTGGGCTGCCAGAACCACTTGGTGTGCCATAACCACTTGGGCTACCATAACCACTTGGGCTTCCAGAACCACTTGGTGTGCCATAACCACTTGGGCTGCCATAACCACTTGGGCTTCCAGAACCACTTGGTGTTCCGTAACCACTTGGGCTACCATAACCACTTGGGCTTCCAGAACCACTTGGTGTTCCATAACCACTTGGGCTACCATAACCACTTGGGCTACCATAACCACTTGGGCTACCATAACCACTTGGGCTACCATAACCACTTGGGCTACCATAACCACTTGGGCTACCATAACCACTTCCGCTACCAGTTCTGTCGCTTCCAGGAGCGGGTCCTGAACTGCTACAGTTACCGTCCACTTGTCTGTAGACCTTCTGGTCGTGAGGTACATTTTCTTTCGTTCCGCAAGAACTTGCAACGTCCGTCAGTACTTCACAACCTCCAGTTGCCTAAAAGAGATGTACGGATCAGCGATATTTTAAAAACAAGCTAAATCTTTCAACTACAAAAATGTCATGAAAACAAATAGTTAAACAAGTTAATAAAAAGTCCAGTGACAAGTTAAGCGCAATTTCCTTATGTTATCCATAACAATTTTTAATTTTTTGTGACCGAACGAAAGGATATTTTTTTGCGCTAAAAAAAAGACAACTATATTAACCTATATCAACGGAAATAGTTTTATTTTAACGAGTAGGCCTACACGATGCTCAGTTTAAACAAGTTAATAAAAAGTCTAGTGACAATTTAAGCGCAATTTCCTTATGTTATCTAAAAATAGATAGACGTATAATGCTGGGGTGCGTTCAAGCTAGGAGAACGATCGTTTTGTAGGTGTTTATGTAATTTTTTTAAAAAAAATTGTGACCGAACGAAAGGATATTTTTGAAAACTTTCTTCGGCAATATTGGTCTAAATTATGGCAGGAATCGATTGGTAAATGTTTCAAGTCGCTAAGTGGTCTGGTTGCCGAGATATGGGCAAGAAACCGCATTTTTTCGAGGTTTTTTGGCTTTTCCGGGAAATCCAGGAAGGAATTCCGGGAATTTTTTTTTTTGGCCCACAATCATCCTCGGAACTTGCTTAACATATTTGCTTTGGAACTAGTCCTCGATATTGCTTCGTTGAGGAGGAGAAACGACTTAAAGCTGCGGACACACATCCAGCCATCCATCCATCACCAGAAATGACGAGTTAATAATCGCAATTGTCCAGTATGGAAATTGTGCTAAGAAAAAACAGCTAACACTAATTATACAAAGAACAAGTAGATCTATATCTTTAAAAAAAATAAACCGGGAGTGATCTCCCCTAAACTTTCTCGAATTTTCTTTTAGAACACTACGGGGGATGGCAACTCGGGATATAGACAATAATGTTTTTAATCCATTTTTAATTACTTAAACTTTTTAAAATAGAATAGAATCTCGTAGTAAAAAAGATTTGCGCACCAAGTGAACGCCAAACAAAATGTGTATAATACTGCAGAATATTATTAGTACTTTATAAATTCACATGCGTTTTTGAGAAATCGGAATTAGCGTCAATTACTACTTCCAGTCAGCGGAAATTACTCAAAATTTAATAGAAGGCAGAGAATTAGATCTTTTATTTACGTGTGAAATTTCATTTATCTATTTGAAACAGTACTCAAGTTATAGGCTTTTGAAAAAATTTAAAGTAGAATAAGTTCCACTTCCGGTTATCGGAAATTGCTGAAAAGTTAACACAGTACTATATATAATGCTTACGTGTGAAATTTCATCAACCTGGCTCTAACGGTACTTGAGTTATGGTGTTTACAGACACACATACACATACACACACAGACATACGGACAAAATCGGAAAACTATGTTTTTTCCGACAGGGAGGCGTAAAACGTCGAGAACTGTGAAAATCTCTATTTCTCTTTTTGCACGATTGCAATACTTCCTCTATACTTCGTATACGAGAAAGTAAAAATCAGTGTGTTGTTTTAGATTGCGCATTGAACACAATATTTCTGTCGGTGAGGCTTGAGAATTTTCCCACCCCCTTTACTTTACAATATGTTTTAACTACTTTAGGCACACAAGTTTCTCTCGAACAACATGCAGAAGCGCTGAGCACTTACCTCACTAAAGTACATGGTGATTGGGCAAAACATGCAGGCTCCAATGATACGGTTGGGATCACAGGTGTAGTAGGCGTTACAGTATTTGGGATGAGGTACAAAGAAACCATCAGTAGACTTTCCAGCTGGTTGGTATTTCATGCACGTTGGGTCAGGTTTGACCGGAACTTGATTGCCAGTGTTACTTGAGGAACCACTGCTACCAGAGGAACCGTAGCCACTGCTGCCAGAGGAACCATAGCCACTGCTGCCAGAGGAACCGTAGCCACTGCTACCAGAGGAACCGTAGCCACTGCTGCCAGAGGAACCGTAGCCACTACTGCCAGAGGAACCGTAGCCACTGCTACCAGAGGAACCATAACCACTGCCGCTACCACTGGGGCTACCGTAACTACTTGGGCTACCATAACCACTTGGGCTGCCATAACTACTTGGGCTTCCAGAACCACTTGGTGTGCCATAACCGCTTGGGATACCATAACCACTTGGGCTTCCTGAACCACCTGGTGTTCCATAACCACTTGGGCTACCATAACCACTTGGGCTACCAGAACCACTTGGGCTTCGAGAACCACTTGGTGTGCCATAACCGCTTGGGCTGCCATAACCACTTGGGCTTCCTGAACCACTTGGTGTTCCATAACCACTTGGGCTACCATAACCACTTGGGCTACCATAACCACTTGGGCTGCCATAACTACTTGGGCTACCATAACCACTTGGGCTACCATAACCACTTGGGCTACCATAACCACTTCCGCTACCAGTTCTGTCGCTTCCAGGAGCGGGTCCTGAACTGCTACAGTTACCGTCCACTTGTCTGTAGACCTTCTGGTCGTGAGGGACATTTTCTTTCGTTCCGCAAGAACTTGCAACGTCCGTCAGTACTTCACAACCTCCAGTTGCCTAAAAAAGATGTACGGATCAGCGATATTTTAAAAACAAGCTAAATCTTTCAACTATAAAAAATGTCAACATAGTAGGTTATAAGAAGAAGCAACTTGTAAATAGAAAACAATAACCCCTTACTAAAGGAATGGTATGCATTTCTTGAACAATAACAAAAATCAATGTGATCTTACGCTTTGAACACGCTTTTATTTAACTTGCTCCCTCTGTCTGACAGTCTTTCTGTCTATCTATCGTCTTGTATCGAAACTGGCGAGCGAAATTTCGACTACTTCTAACTGACCAATTCATTCCAAACTAGGCACGAGGGCCTAGACTCAATGACAATGCAACCTGACATCAAGTTTGATTTCATTTGATGCCTAATTAAATTTTAAAGAATCAATTGAAATTTCCTTTATAAAGTACTTTTTACGGCGCTATTATACGCGCATTTCTCATGTTCATTTGGTGCGCAATATTTTTTAGTCATGCAACTCTATTAAAAATGTTCAGATAGGCTACTGAAAAAAAAGTATTTAAAAACGTTATATTTTATTAAAAATGTATGTATTTTGCACAAAAAAGGAGAAAATAAATGTGAAAAAAAAACCCCAGTATAAACTTATACTGCTTTTTAAATAACTAAAGAAAAGAGTGGGTCACTATATTATCTATTGAATTACTTTGACTAAATTTTGAGAAGCGACCCGTGCTTTTCTTTAAAGTTATTTAAATAGGAGCGTATTATTAAATATTTTTATAAAATCAAATATTTTTTTCCTTTTTAGAGCATTAATACATAAAAGCTTGTTGTTAAACTTTTAATTTTTTTTACAAGCTTTTTATATAACTTGCTTCCTCTTCCTGTCTGCTTGTCTGTCGTGCTTCTTCGTGGATTGAAACTACCGAGCGAAATTTCGATCACTTTTAACTGACCAATTCGTTACAAACTTGACACGGGTCGAGACACACAAATTTAACTTAATTGGTGCTTAATTAATTGTTTAATGAATTAATTAAAATATCTGATATAAATTACTATTTACCGAGCTATTTTACGCGCAAGTTTTATATTTGTTCGGTGCGCAATAGTTTTTAGTCATGCAACTCTATTACATTAAAAACAATTTACAGTACTGAAACTAAATGCATAACAACGTTATAATAACAAACTTTTATGTAATGATGTACTAAAAAGGAGTAAACAAAGGATTTTTCTTGAATATAAGAATGGACTTTTAATTAAATAAGAAAAAATTAAACGTGAGTTGCTTCTTAAATGCTATTAAAAGTATTCAATACATAATATAGCGACACAAGCTTTCTTGTTAGCTTTTTAAATAGTAGTTCAATATATTTTTAAAAAATCATTTTTTTCTCCTTTTGATTGCATAATTCTATAGAAGCTTGTTATTAAAACGATTATTTTGAATTTTCCTCATTCATTTTACAATAAGCACTTACCTCACTATAGTACATGGTGATTGGGCAAAACATGCAGGCTCCAATGATACGGTTGGGATCACAGGTGTAGTAGGCGTTACAGTATTTGGGATGGGGTACAAAGAAACCATCAGTAGACTTTCCAGCTGGTTGGTATTTCATGCACGTTGGGTCAGGTTTGACCGGAACTTGACTTCCAGAGTTACTTGAGGAACCACTGCTACCAGAGGAACCGTAGCCACTGCTACCAGAGGAACCATAACCACTGCCGCTACCACTAGGGCTACCATAACTACTTGGGCTACCATAACCACTTGGGCTTCCAGAACCACTTGGTGTTCCATAACCACTTGGGCTACCATAACCACTTGGTGTGCCATAACTACTTGGGCTACTATAACCACTTGGGCTTCCAGAACCACTTGGTGTTCCATAACCACTTGGTGTTCCATAACCACTTGGGCTTCCAGAACCACTTGGTGTTCCATAACCGCTTGGGCTACCATAACCACTTGGGCTTCCAGAACCACTTGGTGTTCCATAACCACTTGGTGTTCCATAACCACTTGGGCTTCCAGAACCACTTGGTGTTCCATAACCGCTTGGGCTACCATAACCACTTGGGCTTCCAGAACCACTTGGTGTTCCATAACCACTTGGTGTTCCATAACCGCTTGGGCTACCATAACCACTTGGGCTTCCAGAACCACTTGGTGTTCCATAACCACTTGGTGTTCCATAACCACTTGGGCTACCGTAACCACTTGGGCTACCATAACCACTTGGGCTACCATAACCACTTGGTGTACCATAACCACTTGGGCTACCATAACCACTTGGGCTACCATAACCACTGCCGCTACCAGTTCTGTCGCTTCCAGGAGCGGGTCCTGAACTGCTACAGTTACCGTCCGCTTGTCTGTAGACCTTCTGGTCGTGAGGGACATTTTCTTTCGTTCCGCAAGAACTTGCAACGTCCGTCAGTACTTCACAACCTCCAGTTGCCTACAAGTTAAAAACAAGCCAAATCTTTCAACTACAAAAATGTCAACATAGTAGTAGGTTATAAGAATAATAGTGTAAAGAAAAAAAATTCCTTGCTACAGTAAATAGCATGTAGGCCTATATGCTGAGCAAAAATAACTAATATAAAAACGTTTATCAAAAAGCCTTTAAATGCATTAAAATAAACTAATAAAGCTAATATTTTTCTTTAATAAAAGCATTGGTCGCCAAAACATATAAGAGATTAGCGACCAATGCTTATATTTAAGAAAGCTAATTTATTTTATTGCAGGGTTTTATTTATCTAGCTATAGCTGTCTGTCGCAATGTCGTCATAGATCGAAACGGACGAGCGAAATTGCAAGTACTTCTAATCGACCAAATTTTTTCTGAAATTGGGTCTTTGTGAGTCCAGACCCAAAGACAATTCAATCTGACATACAATTTGACTTAATTGGATGGTTAATTAAGTTTTGATGAAATAATTAAAATTTTCTGAAGTTAGTAGGCTGGCTTTTACTAATATTCCGCAATATTATAGGCTACGTGCATTATCATGTTCATTCGGTGCGCAATTGTTTTAGGCATGAAACTATATTGTATTAAAAAATATTTAAAGTACAGAAAAAAAATGCATTGAAACGTTTTAATAACAAGTAAGCTAATATTTAATTATGCCTTAACAAAAGCTATGTTATTTAAAGAGTAGAGTATTATTGTATTTTTAAAGAAAATTATTTACTTTCTCAATTTGGTGCATAATTACAAAATAGTTTGTTATTAAAACGTTTTTGATTCTTTTTTACTAGCTTTTATTTAATTAGCTTCTTTGCCCTGTCTGTCTGTTCGTCTAGCAGTCGTGCTTCATGAATCGAAACTTCAGAGCGAAATTTCGATTATTCTAACAGACCGATTTGTTTCAAACGTGGCACGTGGGTCAAGACCCTATGACAATACAATCTGACATCGATTTGTCTTAATTGGAACCTAAATTAATTGTTTATTAATAAATTGAAATATAAAGTACTATTTACCGCGCTATTTTACGCGCATTTTTTCATGTTTATTCGGTGCGAAATAATTTTTAGTCATTTAACTCTATTAAAAAACAATTTACAATACTGAAGAAAATGCATAAAAACATAACGTTTTAATAAGAAGCTTTCATTTAATCTATAATCAAAAGTTTGTATATTTATTTTTTTGTTTGTTTGTCTGTTCCGATAGACGAGAGAATCTGCACTACGTGTAAAACTGTGAATTACGAATTTTTGTAGAGAATAATGTTCTTTTCTTCAAAACTGTTAAACACAAATGTATTTAAAGAAGTTAATTAATTTATTGATATATGCATTTGTAGAAACACACATTTAATTATAAAAGATCAGAGCAAGTACTTTATTTTCAGAAAAAATAAAAACTTTCATCGGCTTTTGGCGTCACTTGATTTATTTACTTATTTTCACAACTAACATGGCGGCTGCCATGAAAGGCCATATTTTAGATTTTTAAATAGTAGTTCATTAAATAATTTTAAAAAAAAAATGTCTCCATTTTAGTGCATAATTCTATAAAAGCTTGTTATTACAAACGTTTTTTTATGAATCTCTCCCCCCCCCCTATTCCTTTTACTATAAGCTTTAAGTACTTTATGTACAAAAATGTCTCTCAAACAACATACAGATGCGCTGAGCACTTACCTCACTAAAGTACATGGTGATTGGGCAAAACATGCAGGCTCCAATGATACGGTTGGGATCACAGGTGTAGTAGGCGTTACAGTATTTGGGATGGGGTACAAAGAAACCATCAGTAGACTTTCCAGCTGGTTGGTATTTCATGCACGTTGGGTCAGGTTTGACCGGAACTTGATTGCCAGTGTTACTTGAGGAACCACTGCTACCAGAGGAACCGTAGCCACCGCCGCTACCACTAGGGCTGCCGTAACTACTTGGTGTTCCATAACCACTTGGGCTTCCTGAACCACTTGGTGTTCCATAACTACTTGGGCTACGATAACTACTTGGTGTTCCATAACTACTTGGTGTTCCATAACCGCTTGGGCTTCCAGAACCACTTGGTGTTCCATAACCACTTGGGCTACCATAACCACTTGGGCTTCCAGAACCACTTGGTGTTCCATAACCGCTTGGGCTGCCATAACCACTAGGGCTACCATAACCACTTGGGCTTCCAGAACCACTTGGTGTTCCATAACCGCTTGGGCTGCCATAACCACTTGGGCTACCATAACCACTTGGGCTTCCAGAACCACTTGGTGTTCCATAACTACTTGGTGTTCCATAACCGCTTGGGCTACCATAACCACTTGGGCTTCCAGAACCACTTGGTGTTCCATAACCACTTGGGCTACCATAACCACTTGGGCTACCATAACCACTGCCGCTACCAGTTCTATCGCTTCCAGGAGCGGGTCCTGAACTGCTACAGTTACCGTCCGCTTGTCTGTAGACCTTCTGGTCGTGAGGGACATTTTCTTTCGTTCCGCAAGAACTTGCAACGTCCGTCAGTACCTCACAACCTCCTGTTGCCTAAAAGAGAGACGTGAGGTTTTGCGTTTTGTGAAAGAATAAGGCTATATTTCAATAACTAAAATGTCGTGACACAACTGGAAAAGGTCATCCATCTAACACATTCACAAATGTTGAAATCTTCACCTAGCCTTTCCTTCTGTCCACGACGCACCCTGACTACTTGGTTTACGAAGTCTTCTATGAAAATGTTATAGTTACTCAAAAAACTATCTTCGTAAATAAGTACAGTGTGTAAGAAGCCGTAAGAATGAAGCCAAATTGAAATTTGAACTGAGGTTATGGGTCTGGGCAAATATCAGCTGCAGGAGCCTGCTTCCCTTAAAATAAAATGTCTGTCCAATGTGTTCATTTTTGTCACCTGCATTGTTTAATGATTTGCAATATATTATTAGCTTTCGGCATATAGCATAAATGATATAAATGTTGTTTCTATTCGGTTCCAACACTGTAATAAATTATATACTTCGAAAATACGCGCGATTATCTACACCTATAAAAGCACAATAAATAATTCAGTTTTATTGCATTATTAGCCTTCGGCTATAGCTTTAATTTTATAACTTGCTTCTATTATGTAGCATGGGAATGGTTAAATTGGGTTATATTTTAATTAAAACAATTTTTTTTTACTTTATGATTATGAAGAGTATGCTAAATAGTACAAAATGTTTTCACCATTTGATGTGAGAGCACCTAGCCAAGATGAAACCGCGTTAGCTAATCACTTAGGTAACATGGGTACGGAACCCTAAGCATTCATTGTCCTTTTTATAATGTTCCCACCCAGAAAGTGGACAGAGGGAAATATCAAAGCACATGAATGACTCTAAGTGATTGCTATTTTGTTTTTAGACGTTTAGTTTAATAATTTATTTATTTATTATTCATATGAGGTTCGCGTTAGAAAGAAACCGACTTATAATTATTATGACTCTGATTTGGATTAAGTGATTCACGAGTTTTTATTTAAAGTTTGTTTCCAAATTTTTAAAAAATACAAATGGTATGCGCTGAAGGAATTTCCACCAAAGCGGCGCTTACACGAAGGACGTGCTACCGCCACCCGCACGCAGCGCAACCGCGGGCGCTCTGCTAGTTATTCTTTAAAATCTCAACAAATGTACTCAATCCCGAGTACTGCATTTTAAATTGTATCCTTACAGTTTGCTGTGTATATTTAGTTTTATTTTTGTACTAATGTCACAATATATTAGTGTAGTATTTTTTTTAACTTGATGTGACTCCCGCTTCATGAATGGGTATACGAATGGATTTGAGTTGTCTTTTGTCAGACATATTTTAACCCTCCCCAAGAAATTAGTAAGCATATCGAAAATACCCAGTGGTTAACAAAAATATATCTCTAACTATGACATATTAACATAATATTTTAACACAATAAAATTATGATCACTGTGTTCAAAGTAATTATTTGCACTGCGTATTTTTTTCGGCTTCTGAATAATTCATTTGCCTTTGACGGAATATTTTTAATGAAGTACAAGCATCCCTTTCAACAGTATGTAGATGGGTTGAGCACTTACCTCACTATAGTACATGGTGATTGGGCAAAACATGCAGGCTCCAATGATACGGTTGGGATCACAGGTGTAGTAGGCGTTACAGTATTTGGGATGGGGTACAAAGAAACCATCAGTAGACTTTCCAGCTGGTTGGTATTTCATGCACGTTGGGTCAGGTTTGACCGGAACTTGATTGCCACTTGAGGAACCACTGCTACCAGAGGAACCGTAGCCACTGCTGCCAGAGGAACCGTAGCCACTGCTACCAGAGGAACCGTAGCCACTGCTACCAGAGGAACCATAACCACTTCCGCTACCACCAGTGCTACCATAACCACTTCCGCTACCACCAGTGCTACCATAACCACTGCCGCTACCACCAGTGCTACCATAACCACTGCCGCTACCAGTAGAGCTACCACCAGTGCTACCATAACCACTGCCGCTACCACTAGAGCTACCACTGCGGCTACCACTGCCGCTGCCGCTACCAGTAGAGCTACCACCAGTGCTACCATAACCACTGCCGCTACCACCAGTGCTACCATAACCACTGCCGCTACCACTAGAGCTACCACCAGTGCTACCATAACCACTGCCGCTACCGCCAGTGCTACCATAACCACTGCCGCTACCACTAGAGCTACCACCAGTGCTACCATAACCACTGCCGCTACCGCCAGTGCTACCATAACCACTGCCGCTACCTCCAGTGCTACCATAACCACTGCCGCTACCACCAGTGCTACCATAACCACTGCCGCTACCACCAGTGCTACCATAACCACTGCCGCTACCGCCAGTGCTACCATAACCACTGCCGCTACCACCAGTGCTACCATAACCACTGCCGCTACCATAACCACTGCCGCTACCGCCAGTGCTACCATAACCACTGCCGCTACCACTGCCGCTACCAGTAGAGCTACCACCAGTGCTACCATAACCACTGCCGCTACCGCCAGTGCTACCATAACCACTGCCGCTACCACTGCCGCTACCAGTAGAGCTACCACCAGTGCTACCATAACCACTGCCGCTACCACTGCCGCTACCAGTAGAGCTACCACCAGTGCTACCATAACCACTGCCGCTACCACCAGTGCTACCATAACCATTGCCGCTAGTACTGCCGCTACCACTAGAGCTACCACCAGTGCTACCATAACCACTGCCGCTACCACCAGTGCTACCATATCCACTGCCGCTTCCAGATCTGTCATTTCCTCTTCCAGACCCACTACCACCCATTCCATAACCAGACCCACTACCACCTTGACCATAACCAGAACCACTACCACCTTGACCATAACCAGAACCACTTCCTCCTTGACCATAACCAGAACCGCTTCCACTCTTCACATAACCATACTGATACTGTCTTGTCTGGTTCTTGGCGTGAGGGTTAGGCCTGTCAGTGTAGGGCCAGCATGAGCCGTCCTCCTGTAGCGTGGTCTTGTCCTCGTGTCTGACGTACAGCTTCTTGCCACACAGGGCCTGCACGTCCATCCCGCGGTGGTCACTGCATGTCAGCTCACCCTGGGGACAGACATGATGGCAGGTTCCAACATTTGTTTTAAAGACATACTTTGCTGAATACCGGAGTTTTTTTACTCTTTAGTATACGGTTACCACCTTCTAAAGCTGTTTTTATTGGTTCTCAGAAAATTGCGCGTCGGAAAGTTACGCAGCGGAAAAATGCGCAAACAGAAAAATGCGCAAATCCTAACAAACTATACTAAACCACTTTAATTTTGTTATATTTCGTGAGAGTATGTTTTATTATGGTACACTGTACACGTAGTCACTCTTTGTTAATGTCTATAAATGCACGATTTAAGAAAAAAAACATTTCCTTTGCGCAGTTTTCTGTTGCGCATCTTTCCGGTCGCAGTTTTCATTAGCTAGACAGACTGGAACTGAGAATCGAGCATTTCTCTCACCCACGTGATCAGCCGATGGACACACGCATTGCACTACCTGTTTTTGGACATTAGGGTCAATGCGGATAAGGAAAGGCATACTTTCTAGAGTTCGGGTTCCGAACTCGTTGCCTTTGGTTTAGCAAGCGGGATTCTTCTTAAACATGCGCCATCTGAGCCACTCATCAACCTTATAGTAACATTTACTGGTCTAAGACGGTCCAAGCTGTCTACATAAGAATAAAACTTTATAGTCCAAAGGTTTTAAATACTGTCTCCTGTTATTATCATGCAAACACAAATCACATATTTAAAATTGTTTGTATTATGGAAATGTATAAGGTATGCTAAGAAAACGATTTACATAAAGATTTGATGAACACGTCAAAAGAATCTCATCTTTTGAACCGAATTAAAACCATCTGTTATCATTTGAACGCGAACCAGAGTGGATCAAATACAATACGACTGATGTTGTATCAAAGTCACTTGTATTATTTCTTCGATGTTGTTTATCATCGAACCAAATCTACGAACACTACAAACTCGATATAAAAAATAAACACCACGAATACAACCATTAAGACTACAAAGACGTCGAACACTCCAAAGACGATATAAAAACCAACACCACCAACACTACAAAGACGATATAGAAAACAAAACAACAAACACTACAAAGACGATATAAAAACCAACACCACCAACACTACAAAGACGATATAGAAACCAAAACAACAAACACTACAAAGACGGTATTAAAAATAAACACCACGAATACTACAATGTCATTATAAAAAGCCAACACAAAAACTCCGGGTTTTACCGTTTTGAAGTAAAGTCCTTCGCCACAGAAGGTGCAAGGGGCGAACAGATAGCTGGAGCTGCAAGTGTAGAAGGCGTTACAGAACACGGGGTGGGCCACTAGGAAGTTCGCGTTGGGCACCCCTTGGTCACAGAGGCCTTGTGTTTCCGGTGAGAGGTATTCTGGGAGAATCGGAAATGGCTGGATTGAACGATAAGTTACGTAATGTAAGGGGGGGGGGGAGTATTAAAAAAGGGGACATTTGATACACTGTATGGTTACCATGGTAATGAGTTTGATCTTTTCTAAAGGCAGCCTAAGCAGAGTTAGTCTGTAAAAATTACACGTAATTTTCCCCAAACGTCAACTTTAAACTGAATGCAGTTCTCTAATGTCCTTCCGCTTAAGGCTTTGTCATAAATTAAGCTTGTTGTCACATATTAAGCAGCTACCTTTCCCTAAACTTTAATCGAACGACAATCTCTGGGACCTAATTGTCGTTGGTCTTCTGTGAGCCATGTGATATTGTTAGGTGGCCTATTTTGTCGGTGGGTCATTTTGTCAGAGGAACAATTTATAAGGGCCATTCATTTACGTGTCGCTAAGACGGGTACTTTTATCTTTAGGAAAGTGCACCTCAGTAGGGAAGTGCACCTCAGTGCATCTCAGTAGGGAAGTGCACCTCCGTAGAGAAGTGAATCTCAATAGGGAAGTACACCTCAGTATGGAAGTGCATCTCAGTAGGGAAGTGCACCTCGTTAAGTGCGTGCATCTCAGTAGGGAAGTGCACCTCAGTGGGGAAGGTGCACTTCAGTAGAGAAGTGCGCCTCTCACTTACCATTTTTCTTCACGGTGGCACAGTTTGATTTCTGCACATCCCCTGGCCAGTCACAGTAGCTCTTCTCGGCGTTGAAGACGAGGCCAGGTTGGCAATCAGCGAGGGTCGGGGTACCACTGTCACACTGGTAGAACTTGGAGCAGTCTGCTGCGTACTCGAACTGTCCGTCTGGTTTGGGGCACTTGTCTAGAAGACAGGGCAGCATAAGGTTAAGTTGGGTGGGTAAGACAAGGGTTGGGGCACTTGTCTAGAAGACAGGGTAGCATAAGGTTAAGTTGGGTGGGTAAGACAAGGGTTGGGGCACTTGTCTAGACAGGGTAGCATAAGGTTAAGTTGGGTGGGTAAGACAAGGGTTGGGGCACTTGTCTAGAAGACAGGGTAGCATAAGGTTAAGTTGGGTGGGTAAGACAAGGGTTGGGGCACTTGTCTAGAAAACAGGGCAGCATAAGGTTAAGTTGGGTGGGTAAGACAAGGGTTAGGGCACTTGTCTACAAGACAGGGTAGCATAAGGTTAAGTTGGGTGGGTAAGATAAGGGTTGGGGCACTTGTCTAGACAGGGTAGCATAAGGTTAAGTTGGGTGGGTAAGACAAGGTTTGGGGCACTTGTCTACAAGACAGGGTAGCATAAGGTTAAGTTGGGTGGGTAAGACAAGGGTTGGGGCACTTGTCTAGACAGGGCAGCATAAGGTTAAGTTGGGTGGGTAAGACAAGGTTTGGGGCACTTGTCTACAAGACAGGGTAGCATAAGGTTAAGTTGGGTGGGTAAGACAAGGGTTGGGGCACTTGTCTAGACAGGGCAGCATAAGGTTAAGTTGGGTGGGTAAGACAAGGGTTAGGGCACTTGTCTACAAGACAGGGTAGCATAAGGTTAAGTTGGGTGGGTAAGATAAGGGTTGGGGCACTTGTCTAGACAGGGTAGCATAAGGTTAAGTTGGGTGGGTAAGACAAGGGTTAGGGCACTTGTCTACAAGACAGGGTAGCATAAGGTTAAGTTGGGTGGGTAAGATAAGGGTTGGGGCACTTGTCTAGACAGGGTAGCATAAGGTTAAGTTGGGTGGGTAAGACAAGGTTTGGGGCACTTGTCTAGACAGGGCAGCATAAGGTTAAGTTGGGTGGGTAAGACAAGGGTTGGGGCACTTGTCTAGAAGACAGGGTAGCCTAAGGTTAAGTTGGGTGGGTAAGACAAGGGTTGGGGCACTTGTCTAGAACACAGGGTAGTATAAGGTTAATTAAGTTTTCGTGGGCAATTTGAGAATGTTGGTATGGAAGGTAATAGGATATTTGAATGTTGCTAGGAGAGTCTTGAGTTCATTGGAGAGCTGTACTGTAATTAGGGTTACAGTTTTAAATGTACTCGATAAAAAATTTACAAAGGTGTTCTTCGCGATTGAAATAGAAAGAAAATAACGATAGATGTCAGCTGAGATTTTGCAACTGGCGTTGTGTGATGAAGACGAAAGGAAGTGCGTTCGGCTGTTAACCCGGAGGTTTCGAGTTCGAACCCGGGTAGGGACTCGAGACTGCGTGACTTCACTGGGTCCAACCAGTTCTGATGGGTACCAGACTCACATTGGGGAAAGTAAAATCGTCAGGGGTATAGTGCTGACCGCACACCTAAGCCTAGGTCAAAAAATACATGAACTCTTCTTAATCCGCCATAAGGATTGCTGTATCTGAAAGGGGAGCTTAACTTTTTAAAGTTGTGTACTTACAATTGTCAATTGAACCTGATCTAGACGTCCCAGACTGACCACCACTTCCGTACTGCCCTCCGGATCCAGAAGATCCTCCACTTCCGTACTGTCCTCCGGATCCAGAAGATCCACCATTTCCGTACTGCCCTCCGGATCCAGAAGATCCACCACTTCCGTATTGCCCTCCGGATCCAGAAGATCCACTACTTCCGTATTGCCCTCCGGATCCAGAAGATCCACCACTTCCGTATTGCCCTCCGGATCCAGAAGATCCACTACTTCCGTATTGCCCTCCGGATCCAGAAGATCCACCACTTCCGTATTGCCCTCCGGATCCAGAAGATCCACTACTTCCGTATTGCCCTCCGGATCCAGAAGATCCACCACTTCCGTATTGCCCTCCGGTGCCAGAAGATCCACCACTTCCGTACTGCCCTCCGCTAGAGGACCCCCCACTTCCTGACTGTCCTCCCGTGCTATACTGCCAGCTGCTGCCGTACTGTCCTCCCGTGCTAGCCTGTCCTCCGCTGCTCCACGTGTAGCTGTAGCCTGTCGCGCCATAGTCCTGTGACAGGACAGCGCTGACTGCTAGTGCTGCCACCACAGCCAGCACTAGGTGCTGGTGCTCTATAGAACAAAACAGATCATTGGATAGATATTTAGGTGCACTAGGTGCTCTATGGAACAAAACATAGATCATTAGATAGATCTTTAGGTGCACTAGACTTTCTATGGAACAAAAACATAGATCATTAGATAGATCTTTAGGTGCTCTATAGAAAAAAACAAAGATCATTAGATAGATCTTTAGGTGCTCTATAGAACAAAAACAAAGATCATTAGATAGAACTTTAGGTGCTCTATGGAACAAAAACAAAGATCATTAGATAGATCTTTAGGTGCTCTATGGAACAAAAACAAAGATCATTAGATAGAACTTTAGGTGCTCTATGGAACAAAATCAAAGATCATTAGATAGATCTTTAGGTGCTCTATGGAACAAAAACAAAGATCATTAGATAGATCTTTAGGTGCTCTTTCGAACAAAAACATAGAACATTAGATAGATCTTTAGGCGCATTAGGTGCTATATTGAACAAAAACATAGATCATTAGATAGATCTTTAGGTGCTCTAGGTGCTCTATTGAACAAAAACATAGATCATTAGATAGATCTTTAGGCGCACTAGGTGCTCTATGGAACAAAAACATAGATCATTAGATATTTAGGCGCACTATACTTTCTATGGAACAAAAACATAGATCATTGGATAGATCTTTAGGTGCAATAGGTGCTCTATGGAACAAAAACATAGATCATTAGATGGATCTTTAATGCGCATTAGGTGCTCTATTAAACAAAAACATAGATCATTAGATAGATCTTTAAGCTCATTAGGTGCTCTATTCAACAAAAACAATGATCATTAGATAGATCTTTAGGTGCAATAGGTGCTCTATGGAACAAAAACATAGATCATTAGATGGATCTTTAATGCGCATTAGGTGCTCTATTAAACAAAAACATAGATCATTAGATAGATCTTTAGGCTCATTAGGTGCTCTATTCAACAAAAACAATGATCATTAGATAGATCTTTAGGTGCAATAGGTGCTCTATGGAACAAAAACATAGATCATTAGATAGATCTTTAATGCGCATTAGGTGCTCTATTAAACAAAAACATAGATCATTAGATAGATCTTTAGGCTCATTAGGTGCTCTATTCAACAAAAACAATGATCATTAGATAGATCTTTAGGCGCACTAGGTGCTCTATGGAACAAAAACATAGATCATCAGATAGATCTTTAGGCGCAATAGTTACTCTATTGAATAAAAACATAGATCATTAGATAGATCTTTAGGCGCAATAGGTGCTCTATTGAACAAAAACATAGATCATTAGATAGATTTTTAGGTGCACTAGACGCTCTATAGAACAAAACATAGATCATTAGATAGATCTTTAGGCGCAACGGGTGCTCTATGGAACAAAACATAGATCATTAGATAGATCTTTAGGCGCAATATGTGCTCTATTGAACAGAAACAGATAATTAGATAAATCTTTAGGCGTACAACTTTCTCTATTAATTAAAAACATAGATCATTAGATCTTAAGGTGCATTAGACTTACAAATATTAGTCGCACCAGGCTTAGATAATTACTCGCACTAGGTTTAGATAGATCATTAGTGGTATTAGACTTAATAGAACTTTTTTTCCTAAACCTAATGGGTTTATTAGTTGTACCTGGTTTAAACAGTTTTTTTATCGTTGTAAGTTTAAACCAGGGGTCTCCAAACTACGTCCCGCGGGCCGGATGCGGCCCGCGAAGTCCTCTCATCCGGCCCGCGGAGATTTTTTTGTCCAAGGAAAAATCGTTTGTTGGTGATGATGAGGAACTTTGCGCAGAAAAATCAAAGACATGCCTGGAAGAAACTGGCCCCCTAACTGAAATTTGATAGTTAATGCGGCCCTCGGACTGAAAAGTTTGGAGACCCCTGGTTTAAACTATGCTCACTTTTTCTGATTTTTTTTTAAATAAAAAAAATCTAATGCTTTTTTTTTTTTGACGATTTTTTGCCAAAATTTGTCAAAAAAAAAAAATTATTCTTAAATTTTGAATTTTTTAAAATTGTTTTCGTTGTTATGAAAACCTACCTTAGATGATTTTCAAAACTCTACGTATTTGTTAAGCCAGAAAAGCGCTAAACTTCTAAATAAATAAAACAAATAAAACACTGTTTCATCTAGCTAGCACGTGGCCCAATATTTTCCTTAAGTCGAGTACAAATAATCCACGTACCAACTACGAACCGTATCTGTCAGATAGGAGTGCCTGCAATTTCACACGGGCGTTTCGATCTAGACAGACAGACAGACTGACGACAGACAGAGGAAGTGAGTTAAGTAAAAGCTTGTAAAAAAATAAAATAAAAACCCTCTACAATATCAGTTGTTTTAATGTTACATAGTCGCTAATATAAACACACTGAGTTCTGATTCTAGATAGTCGCTTATAAGAGCTCAATATTAGCTTACTGAGTTCTGAGATAGTTGCTATTATGAGCGCAATTAGTTCTATTCGTTAAAATGAACTCAATTAGTTCTTAGTCGCAAATATGAACTCAATTAGTTCTAGTCGCTAATATGAACTCAATTAGTTCTAGTCGCTAATATGAACTGAATTAGTTCTAGTCGCTAATATGAACTGTATTAGTTCTAGTCGCTAATATGAACTGAGTTAGTTCTGAGGTAGTCGCTAATATGAACTGAATTAGTTCTAGTCGCTAATATGAACTCAATTAGTTCTGAGGTAGTCGCTAATATGAACTCAATTAGTTCTAGTCGCTAATATGAACTTCATTTGTTCTGACATACTCGCTGATATGAGACCAATTTGTTCTAGTCGTTAATATGAACTCAATTAGTTCTGAGATAGTCGCTGATATGAGATCTTTAATTCTCAGCAATAACTATGGGGTTTAGGGCTAATATTGTATAATATCTTTCGATATTAATCCTAACACGGTATTCACACAGCTGCCTATAACACAGGAAAAAATGTCCCCAAAAGAAACACCACACGGCAAAACTCCTGGCTAAAGTGATAGCGCGTCAGACTTACTTGGTGGTCTCATGTTCCCGGTAACGAGCATCGAATCACGCCCTGTGTGGTTGTAAAACCGGTTGGGCTGCGGTACAGGTGGAGACGATTCGTTTTATACTATCACAATCCTCACCCCCCCCCCTCCCACCCTAGAGTTCGTCCAGGTGTCACTCATCAGATTTGAATGTTTGTTCATCATTTGCCAGTTTGAATCGTGACGGGTAGTTAAAACCAAATAGAGATGACAACGTGCGGATAGTTAGGACTCATCGTTTAAATCTGCAAACAACGTAGACATTACCTCCCCCCTACCCTGCTTTCCCCAAAAAAAAATTGACATCAAAATCGGTTTAATAAGACTTTTTAGCTAAGCCCCGTCAAACATAGCGGGAATGTACCTAGTCAAGATTGGCTGTCAACGACCGCGACATTTGCGGAACTAAGATAAAGGCTAGTTTCCGCGCCTGCCCGAACCGTTTAAAAATTTGGACCGGAGAGTTTGCTTTGCGGTAATTGTTATCTACTTTGGCCATTCTTTCTTTTCGGTTTGTGGTCTTTTTGCCGCGGTGCAATCTCGCCCGAGACAAACAGGTTACGTGGGGAATGACGTAATTTTTGACATAACTTGGTGGTCTCGTCTGTAGACATTAGCACGTTCTTGCGATGTACACACTACACACGACTGAAATATGGTGGACTGACAGCGCCTTTAAGTGCAGTTCCTGTGCTAAAAGTTCGAATGGGAATATAAACATATTTTTTTTAAACAAGAAAAAAGTGTGTAATTTAAATGAGATGGGGAAAACCCAGCGTTGAATTGTGTCGAAGAAGTTGCCGTTAACTCCCCCCCCCCTTCCATTTGCCCAAAAAAGTTTTAAAAAAAAAGGAAACTAATTTAGTCTAGTGCAAGGTTTCTTTTAACAAAAAAACAACAACAACACATTATGGTTTGTCTGCTTTGTGTACAAAGGCATAATGCACAGTGAAAGTGCTAGTGTGTGCAGTTTTTATTTATTGCGTATGTGTTGGTGTATAAGGTATGCGATTTTTGCGTGTGTGTAATTGCGAGTGTGCGTGTTTGCATGTGTTTTCTTTTACTGTTTCTTGCAGGCAACTCTACTGAGGCATCATCATCCCCCCCCCCCTCCTCCCTCCCACATGTCCACCTATGGAAGAAATAGAAAAAGTATACAATTTGTAAAGAATAGATTGTATTTTTAACCGGTGTCTATTCCTTCCAAGTCCTCTTTTTCTTCTACCCCCCCCCCCCTTACGTCGTAGAAAAATTGAAGAAAAAAAGCCTGTGTTGCGTGTGATTGTTTGTAAATGTCCCTCTCATCTCAGTAGAAAAAGATAGCAAAAAAAAAACATGTTTCTATGGTTTTCTTTTCTACGCTGCGGCCTTTATAAAATTTAACTATGTGATACAATTCTAGAAATAATAAGGTTATCTTCTGAAACCTTAAACTAGTGAAGATGTTTGCTGTCTTGAAAACTGAGCGTTGTTATTGGCGTTAGGAGGGAATGTTCAGGGTGTTATCCCCCCCCCCCCTCCCCCCTCCTACAGGTCCGTCACATGTCGCCTGTCTCATTTTAAGTTACAGAAATTAGCGGATGTATTTGTGTATGGGGCGGTGTGGCTTAGAAGTAGAAAGCTAGATCACTAATCCCGAAAGTTTCGAGTTCGGATCCCGGACGACCCTGAGTGTACCCAGCTCAAATGGATACCTGACACGTTGTGGAAATACTGGGCATATTCCTGCCGATATCATTGGAACAAATGGTGATTTGTATGACACCCCCCCCCCCCCACCCCATTATAAAATCCTACATAAGCCCCTGACGTCTTCCATCACTGACCCTACTCTCCTAACGATCTCTTGATTAGACCTCGTTCATTATGTACGAGCCGGGGGTTAATTAAAAAGAAGATGGCGGGAAGATTTATGTCTTAACATTTCAAAGTCATGCTAATTTTTTGCTTTGTTTCGTTGTGCTTTCGCGGTCTCATGTCTAGAGTTACTTCAGACGACCCACCCTCCATCCCACCCGACCTGTCTCTCTCTCTTTCTATCTCTATGCCTCTCTCTATCTCTTTCCATACGGGTTTGTTCGGTCAGATCAATGACGTTAGCAAGCATTTTTCCCCGATTTTATTTACGTGTCGCGTTTTGTTTTGTTTGTGCGCGTGTGAGGTCGGTGATGGTACAAATATAGAACATCTCAGTCTTGGTGCTACTTTCTTTATCAGGACAAAGGATAGCATACTCAGGGATCTTTCTCAGTCTCGTTAGGTAAATATTTGGGGCGTTATAAAGTACATATTAGTAAATGTATGTGGTAATTAATTTCATATATATATATATATATAATATATATATATAGGCCCCTACATATATATATATATATATATATATATATATATATATATATATATATATATATATATATATGTGTGTGTGTGTGTGTGTGTGTATTTATACATATATATGTATATATTATATATATAGGTATTTATTTATATACATATGTATATACGTATGTATGTATTTAATTACATATATATATATATATATATATATATATATATATATATATATATATATATATATATATATATATAGCACGTTTAAATGTATGTGTATTAACATTTTTCAATTTTAGTTCAGTTTAAACTAACAGAAATTACGAATTAATTTAAGGTAACCATGTCAAGAGTAAATGTGTTTCTATAATAAATATTTGAAACTATAAATTGATATTTTTTTCTGAAATAATTCTATTGTAAAGGGGAATTGTCAAATTAATCGCATGATGTATGTGGATAATTTCAGACATTCAGTCGTGGTGTACAAAAAAAAGGTAGGGGATGGGAAAGGTGGAAATAGCGGGGAGGGAGGGGGTGGGGTGGGGTTTCTTATTACCAGTCGATACTCGTTTCTCTCATTAGTGGCCGAGCTAGAGTTCCTCGTGACCTACTTAATTAAGACGGTTGCGGTGACGTCATCAGATGTTTGAAAACAACCTGTTGATCTGTGGACAGTGTATGACCGTGGGACGTGAGACTTGACACGAGACTTGACACAAGACTTGACACTAGACTTGACACGAGAGAGAATTGACACGAGAGAGACTTGACACGAGAGAGACTTGACACGAGAGAGTTGACTTGAGAGAGACTTGACACGAGACTTGAAACGAGACTTGACACGAGACTTGACACGAGACGACACAAGACTTGACAATAGACTTGACGCGAGACGACATGAGACTTGACACGAGACTTGACACGAGACTTGATACGAGACTTGATACGAGACTTGATACGAGACTTGATACGGGACTTGAGACGAGACTTGAGACGAGACTTGATACGAGACTTGATACGAGACTTGAGACGAGACTTGATACGAGACTTGAGACGAGACTTGATACGATACTTGATACGAGACTTGAGACGAGACTTGATACGAGACTTGATACGATACTTGATACGAGACTTGACACGAGACTTGATACGAGACTTGACACGAGACTTGACACGAGACGACACGAGACTTGACAATAGACTTGACGCGAGACGACATGAGACTTGACACGAGACTTGACACGAGACTTGAGACGAGACTTGATACGAGACTTGAGACGAGACTTGATACGATACTTGATACGAGACTTGAGACGAGACTTGATACGAGACTTGAAACGAGACTTGACACGAGACTTGATACGATACTTGATACGAGACTTGATACGAGACTTGACACGAGACTTGACACGAGACGACACAAGACTTGACAATAGACTTGACGCGAGACGACATGAGACTTGACACGAGACTTGACACGAGACTTGAGACGAGACTTGATACGAGACTTGAGACGAGACTTGATACGATACTTGATACGAGACTTGAGACGAGACTTGATACGAGACTTGAAACGAGACTTGACACGAGACTTGATACGATACTTGATACGAGACTTGACACGAGACTTGAAACGAGACTTGAGACGAGACTTGACGCAAGACGACACGAGACTTTACGCAAGACGACACGAGGCTTGACGCGGGACTTGACACGAGACTTGAGACTTGTCACGAGACTTGACACGAGACTTAACACGAGATTAGACGCGAGATGATACATGACTAAATAGTTCATCATTAACTTTTCTGTATATTACACTACTTTAAAATTTATTTTATAAATTTCTTTACCTTTGTTGTATATTACATGACCTTTGCTATACAGGTCTTGACGTTTGTTATATATTACTTGACCTTTAGTGTATAGCACCCGACCTTTGATTTATATCACATGACCTTTGTAATATATGTCTTGACCTTTGTTTTATATTACATGACCTTTGGTAATAGTTCTTGGCATTTGTTATATATATATATATATATATATATATATATATATATATATATATATATATATATATATTAAATGACCTTTTTTATATAGTACATGACCTTTTTGTATATTATATGACTTTTGAGGTATATTACTCGATATTGTTATATACTACCTATGTGGAACGACAGGAAAACCTTCTGTTAATGAAGAATTCAGGAAAACAAAATGGGGTCGGATAGGACACACATTGCGCAGATCGCCAACCAACATTGACAGGCAGGCAGGTATAGAGGTGGATCCCACAGGGAAATTTTAAAAAGCGGACGAGCAAGAGGCACATGGCAACAGGATCTTGAGGCTGAAACAACAAACATAGGCTGCATATGGAGTCAGGTTTAGGAGATGGCACGGGACAGAGGAGATCTTTGGTGGCCCATACCCCAGCAGGACAGAGGACTCTGAAGATCTTTGGTTGGTGGCCCATACTCCAGCAGGACAAAGAACTCTGGAGAGCTGTAGTTGGTGGCCCATACTCCAGCAGGACAGAGAACTCTGAAGATCTTTGGTTGGTGGCCCATACTCCAGCAGGACAGAGAACTCTGAAGATCTTTGGTTGGTGGCCCATACTCCAGCAGGACAAAGAACTCTGGAGAGCTATAGTTGGTGGCCCATACTCCAGCAGGACAGAGAACTCTAGAGAGCTGTAG